ATACAACCAGAGAAATGAAAAGTTGTAGTGTAATTGTGTACAATGAATCAAAATGCATTCTGTTATATATACCTAATTAAAATGAATAAATTAATTAAATAACGAAAGGAATGTTAAAGATCTATAACATAAGAGATCTTTGAGTATTGAAGAGAAAAGAAAATAAAAGCAAATGAAAACGCAGAGCTACATAAAAACTCTATACAAAGACTGTATAAGTGGAGGGGACAGAGCTTAGTGGTAGAGTACTTACCTAACATGAATTAGGTCCTAGGTTCAATCTCTAGTACAAGGGGGAAAAAAGGTCATATGGGTAACATATGTACAAGTAAACCAAGAAGACTTTTCTTCATTGGTTTAATTTCTTTGAAAGAAATTGAGCTGGGTGCTGTGGTGCATGCCTGTAATTCAAGTTACTCGGGAGGCTGAAGGAGCAGTGAAAGTTTGAGGCCAGCCTTGATATTCAATAAGACCCTGTCTCAAAATAAAAAATAAAAAGGGTGGGGGATGTCAGTCAGTGGTAATCACCCCCAGATTAAAGAAAAGAGAAAGCAAAAACAAAATTGAGATTCACAACAAATGGAGAAGTAAAATTTTAGGACAACAGCATAAGCAGAAGGTTGGAAAAGAGAAAATGCAATTACTGTAAAGTTCTTGTTTTATATGGCAAATAGTATATTATTTAAAGGTAGATTATGGTAAGTTAAAAATGTATGTTGAAAACTAAGCAAACAGAAAGAAAATAAAACAAGGTCAACAGTAGATAGAAAATGAAAAAAAATAAAATGCAAATTGGAAAGAGGGCAGCAAAAGTAGGAAAGGGAAACAAGAAATATATGGGACATGTAGAAAACAAATAGCAACATGACAAGACATCATTATATAAAGTAAAATTTAAATTGTCTAAGAATCAGAATGGATAAAAATATAGGAGGCAATTATTGATTATCTAAAAGAAATCCAACTTAAATATAAAGACCCAAACTGGTAAAAGTACACAAAATGTTACTTCATCTAGATAATAACCTTTAGAAAGAGTACACTATTACTATCAAGGTAGATTCTTCTTTCCACTCTGAGTCACGAAAAAGAGACCTCCTAAGGGTCAAGGACAGTGAGGAAAATCTCATTCTTTTCTGTTTTCTCTTGCCCCAGTCGGAAGCAAAAACAACGTAGGTAACGGAAACAGTAGCAGAGTCTGGGCAGACACCTGAAACTCTGAAGGAGGGGAAATCTGATCAAAGGTGTTGAGGTAGCTAGCATACACCTGTAATCCCAGCAACCTGGGAGGCTGAGGCAAGAGGATCACCAAGTTCAAAGCCAATCTCAGAACTTGGTGAGACCCTGTCTCAAAATTAAAACATAAAAAGGGCTAGGGATGTGGCTCAGTGGTTAAGTGCCTCTAGGTTCAATGTTCAATCCCCGTACCAAAATAAAAAGGTACTGTGGTTTCATGAGCTTAAAATAAATCCTCTTACTTTTTTTCTGCTTTTACTTTCAACTGCCTGGAATTAGACATAGATACAAATGCAGAAATGAATGACAGAGGTCAGTCATAGAAACTTAGAGAGACCCTGTCTCAAAATAAAAATTGGAAAAGAAAGGGGATATAGCTCGGTGGTAAAGCACTCCTAGGTTCAATCCCCAGGAAAGACAAGAAAAAGAAAAGCAAGAAGAAAAATGAAAAGGGAAGCCACAGACCAAGAGAAAATACTTACAAATAATACACCTGATAAAGAACATGTGTCCAGAATATATAAAGAAGGTGTAACTAAATAAAAAGGCAAACACGCTTGTTTAAAAATGGACAGGAGATTCTAAAGAAATTTCTCCAAAATAGTTACTCAAATCAAATGAACACATGAAAGGATATTCAATTTCATTAACTTTTAGGCAAATAAAAATTAAAGTCACAATGATATATTTCTATGCAACTACTAGAATGACTAAAATTAAACAACTGAGCATACCAAATATGGGAAGGATACAAAAAAAATCCTGAACTCTCAGATTGTTGGTAGTAAGAGTAAAATCACTTTGGAAAAGTTTGGTAGCTTCTTAAAAATCAAACATACAGGGGCTGGCGTCGTGGCTTAGTGACAGAGCACTTGCTTTGCTCATGTGAGGCACTGGGTTTGATCCTCAGCACCATATAAAAATAAATAAACAAACAACAACAAAAAAAACTTCACATACCATAAGCCATGCCATTGCTGGGTTTTTCTTTCTTTCTTTCTTTCTTTCTTTCTTTCTTTTTTTTTTTAAAGAGAGACAGAGAGAGAGAATTTTTTAATGTTTATTTTTTTAGTTTTCGGCGGACACAACATCTTTGTTTGTATGTGGTGCTGAGGATCAAACCCGGGCCGCATGCATGCATGCCAGGCGAGAGCACTACCGCTTGAGCCACATCCCCAGCCCCCTGGGTTTTTATTTCTAACAAACATAAAAGACTATAAACAAGTGTTCATGGCAGCTTCATTTATAATCCCAAAACTGAAAACACCACAAACATCCATCCATCAACTGATGAATGGATAAACTGTGGTATATCCATATCAAGGAATACCACCTGGCAATTAAACAAAATGAAGTACATTCATAAACTCTGAAACCTGGATGACTCTCAAACATATTACACTAATTGAAAGAGACACTAAAAACCAAATACAAAAAAACAAAAACCCTACAAATTATAAGATTCTATTCACATGGGGAAAAAAAGGCAATTTTTTAGAAATAGAAAGCATATTAGTAGATGCCCAGAGCTGGGGGTGAAAGTGTGGATTAATTGCAAACAGACCCAAAGTAACCCTCTAGGATAATGTCAATGTTCTAAAACAGTACTGAATTGTTTCATAATTCTATAAACAGACTTACATTACTGAACTGCATCTTACATGAGAAACCTACATGGTATGTAAACTATACCTTTAAAAAAGCTTTTTTAAAAATGAAGCATATGAAGAAAATAAACAGACAAACCAAAAATTGGGAAATAGTTAATACATAAAAGCAAGAACAGACTAGTTTCCAGAATATGTAAAGACTACCTACAAAGTCAATTTATAAATGTTAAACATCCCAAGTGGAAAATGAACAAAAGAAATGAACCAGAATTTTATAGAGTAGGAAACAACCCATAAACATGTAAAAACAACTTCCTCACTTTAATAATCAGGGAAATGTTAATATCACAATAAGATTTTATTTGTTACCATAGAGGCAAATATGCTTTCAACCCAGTTACTTCTAAGAATCAATCCTACAAATCTGTTTGTGCAAGGCCACAAATACATATGTACAAAGACAGTACTGGAGAGTAATATATGAATATATAGACTGAAACAGCAGCTCAGGAGGCTGAGGCAGGAGGATCATGAGTTCAAAGACAGTATCAGCAACTTAGTGAGGTCATAAGCAACTCAGTGAGACTGTGTATCTACATAAAACACACACAAAAAAAAGGTTGGGGATGTGGCTCGACATCCAACTAGGCAACTGTCTATTTTCATTTGAAAATATTTTCCTGGAAAGTTGTTTAAAATTTTAAAAAATAAAATAAAAGTCAACTGTGAACTCAATCATAATTCTCAAGTAAAAATAATCCCAAGATGCAACCACACTTGAATACACTGATATTTATTATAGAAACGGCAGTATTCCTTAGAATACACATATCTACATATCTAATTCACCTTAAAAAGCAATGCAAGAAGAGCCAATTATCTAAATACATAATAGTAGTCTAAGCATAAAAACTCAGGTTTAATTCCTATTTCATAGAGAATTCTTAATAGCTCCAAATGATAACCAATAAAGCTATGGCTAAGAAGACATAAAAGCCTAAACAACAGTCAACTTTTTAGAGCAACCCAGGTAATTTGATAGAATCTATAATATCAGTTTGAATATTCTAAACGTATTTTTTTTATACTGGGAATTGAGTCCAGAGCCTTACAAATGCTAGGCAAGCACTGAGCTGTATCTCCAACCCTTTTTAATTTTATTTTGACATAGTCTCATCAAGTTGTCCAGGCTGTTCTACAACTTGCAATCCCCCTGCATTAGCCTCTAGAGTAGTTGGGATTATAGGTGTGTACTACCTCTCTGGGCTCGACTCCTAAGTTCTACAAAATATTCCTGTCATATATGATTTAGGAAAAAAATTAATTTGGACCTGAAGTTAGAAATGAAAATAAAATAAGTGACTAATCTGGTCAGATTAAATTATCATGAAAATAAAATAAAATAATATATATGAAAACAATATATAAATCTAAGACATTAGTTAATCATGTCGTATGACATCCTAAAACAAAGATAAAGAACTACTCAAGTTGGCAGAAAAAAGCTTTAGCAAATAAATAAAGGGTTGGAAGGATTGCTCATCATATACTATTTGAGATAATTTTGCTAGACTACAGAATTTGCTATAAGCCTGCCCTATGAACTCTTAAATTCTAGCAATAGAATCCAGAAATCTTACCACATCCAACATACCAGTAGTATGAGGTCAATAATCCTACTTAGGCTTATAAATTTAAGTAGAAAAATGAATAAAAATAGAAAGATTGAGTAGGTAGTAAGTTTCAGCAGAATTTAACAGATTGATGTAATTTAAAGAGCCAAATTACAGTGGGTTCAAAAAATATACAATGCATTCCTAAGTACATGTATGAAGACACAAATGGTGTGACTCTACTTTGTGTACAACCAGAGGTATAAAAAATTGTGCTCTATATGTGTAATATGAATTGAAATGCATTCTGCTGTCATATATAACAAATTAAAATTAAAAAATAAAAAAACCCATATATATATATATTTCTGGTAATAATACATATTAGTTATTTAGTAATATATTCATCTAATACATTACTTAATTCGCAAATAACCAAACAGTAAGTGAACTTTTAAAAAGGTGAAAGAATTATATGCAAATAAGTTCCTGTTATTTTTGTAAAAAAAAAAAAAAGTAAAGTATTAGTTAATTTGGCTACCTTTGGTCCTGAAACTGGGTGGATGGTATTTTTGGTAGATAACAGATGAGGAAAAGTATTCTGGAATGCAAATGCAGAGGAGACAGGATAAGGAATCCCACAGCTTGGGTAAGTCAGCCTACTATCAACCTAAAAATAAAAACAAGAAAATGATTAAAGATAACAAATAATTCCAAATAGTTTCTCTTATCCAGGAGGCATTACTGTCTGCTAATTAATAGTTAAGAGTACTGTCTTGGGCTGGGGTTGTAGCTCAGTTGGTAGAGCGTTTGCCTTACATGTGTGAGGCACTGGGTTCAATCCTTAGCACCACATAAAAACAAATAAATAAAATAAAGGTATGTCTGTCTACAACTAAAAAAATATTAAAAAAAAAAAAAGAGTGCTATCTCTGAGGCCAATTTTTTTATGACACCATAAAACTCTGCTTCAAACTAAATTAAAACAAAAATCCTACTGGCCAGGCACAGTTGCACATGCCTAAAAATCTCAGCAACTGGAAAGACTAAGGAGGATTGCACGTTTGGGGCCAGCCTCAGCAACTTAGTGAGACCCTCAGCAACTTAATGGACCATCCGGGGATATAGCCCAGTGGTAAAGCGTCCCTGAGTTAAATACCCAGTATCCCCATCATTAAATCCCCACCCCCATCATTCCCCCACAAAAAATAAACCACTGAGTTGAACTATCTTGGATCACTCCAGGTTTCCTGACATGGAAGGTATTAAGAAGGACAGTGAGTCATAAATCAATAGCCCCAATCAGGGATAAAATAATAATTTGCTTCCAAACTGAGTAAAAACAAGATTAATATCCTTAAATAGGGTTAACTGAGGCAATTACTTACTTTCCATTAATCTTCTATATGGTAGCATCACCATTAAACAACAGACACGAGAAAAAAGCTAATTTTTTAAAAGGTCACTTGAAACACAAATCTTGAGAAGCAACTGTGTAGCTCTGTGGGAGAGCATTAACTTAGCATGCTTGAGGCCCTGGGTTCAATTCCATGCAACACACAATAAAAATACTAATCAAAAAGCAACTGTGTACACCAGTGGCTGTACAACATAAACATCCTTCTCACAGTTATTTATCTTCAGTCATTCAGGTTAAGCCTATGAATTTTTTTCAAGTTTGTAATTCAGGTCCAGGTACTTCCTTATGCGCCATTTCCCAATTTAACAGCAATCCTTTTTCTGTTTTAGACGCTAAGTACAATTTATCAGAGTAGATTAAAAATTCAAATAGGTGCCAGGTACAGTGGTACACGCTTGTAATCCCAGCAGCTTGGGAGGCTGAGTCACAAGGATTGGGAAAATGCCAGCCTCAGCAAAAGCGAGACACTAAACAACCCTGTCCCTAAATAAAATACAAAATAGGGCTGTGGTTGTGGCTCAGTGGTACCAAACAATAATAATAATAAATAAAATTCAAATGCTTATTTGAATTTTATGTTTTATGTTTTCTGCCAATGCCCTCCAGTCAGAGAGCACCAGAAAAACACCCAAAGGTATAAAAACTATATTTATAAATTAACTCCTTGAAACGAAGGAAACTGCAGACCTTTAGGAACCATAGGGAGTTTTAGTAACAGTGTGCTAAAAAGGATTTATTTATTGGATCCAGGCACATTGGGCAATTTAAGTGAAAGTTTAGGAAAGTGGAAATTTGCTATGGATTCAATGCTATTAGGAAGTAAGGAAAAATGTATGACTGGATACCTAAATAAATCCCACCTAATAAAGGAGGGGGAATGCGTGATGGCTAAAGCTATAACTGGTTCAAAAAGTAACAGTCATCCATGTTAGCCAGGACTCAACGATGCTTGACCATCTTTGTGGTTTAGCAATGTAGACATTTTAATCTATGTAGACATGATTTACAAAGTATTCTCATTTTGTCTTGATTCATTATGTGTATAGAGTGACCTTGTCTGATGTTGATATTCTGTGAAATTGTGTTCAACAGGAGAGCCTAAGGATTACTTATGAGTATTAGGCAAGTTTCTAGTAGCACCAAGACCTAGCCACATGATAATACTGAGACACCTTTTGTATATAAAGAGCTGCTTTTCTTATTCTCCCCTCTTATTCCTTGCCCAGAAAAAGCAAATGACCCAATTCTGGAAACTAGAAAGCTTATATCTCAAGAGTTTATTCTAGCCTCTAGAGCTGATAACAGAACCTTCTTTTCTCATCCCTGCCCCCACTTTTTTCTTTTGCAGCTAGAATTCAGTTGAGTTTTTTTTCATTGTAGTTGCACACTTGAGCCCAAACCCTGAATTTTTTTCTTCTTAAAGTCATCTAAATGTTTTGAGGGTGTGTCCATGTATACATGTTTTAAAGTTTTTAGCATATCTGGCATTACTTTGGTATGTTCAAAAGTGATTGCTATACCCAGTGAAATCTTACAAAGAAGTGTGCCCTTGAAATACAGCCTCTTTGTTAAGAGCAAGTATGCCTATGTCCCACTTCCAAGGGCAGCTTATGCTGTTCTTCAAGTAGGACTTCAGACTGTATTAGTACCAGTATCTTAAGTCACAGAGACTTCCTAACAAACTGGGAATACTTCTGTTCAGGAAAGTCACTAATACCTTACCACATTCAGGTTAGGAGAAATTCCACTTCTGATTGTGTTGTTGCTGGAATGTGCAGGAGGAGTGGTAGAAGGTCCCAACACATCTTGCTTTCTTACTAGCTGATTTTCATTTAGTTCTTTATTTAACCATGTGATTACTTAGAAAACAAAAAAGTAAAAAAAACTTTTGACAGTTTTTAGTTTTCTAATCATTTTAAATGTTTAAATACCTTAAGCTTTTTAAGTTTTTACAACTGACATCACAGTTGAACAACACTGGTTCATCTAAACTTTTACAATTAGATTCTTATTTTATTCTCTTACTCTAAGAAGCACATATTTCTGCTCCTCTATATTAAGAGGTTTTGCTTCTAAAATGGTATCTTACAGTTTTATTAAAGTTCACAATTTTATGTATGATATCCGGTTCTACCAACTGAGAAAATGCTAATGAAAAAAAAATCTTATAATTCAAATAATTCATGTTACCACTATTAGGTTAACAGCAATTTTTTAAAAAAAAGTAGTGAGGAATCTAAACAATAAATTACAGGCAATATTTTCAACACCATTAGTTTTGGGTCACTGACACATAATACAGTTTTTGTTTTAACAATAATTGTTTTATAGGCACCAGAGAACATAATTTACTACAGCAAAGACATAAGCTTTATTTAAAGTAGAAATTTTCATATAAAGCAAAATCTGAATTTACCTATATTTTAATAAATTCAAATAAAATTTCTAGCTTAAGAATAAAACAAAACTCATTTACATAAAAATATAATATACTTACACTTTTCATTATTTTTTAAAAGCTGTTTGCTTTCCTCAAGTTTTTGAACTGTAGCCTCTAATTGTTCTTGTAATTTGCATACCTGAAACGCCAATCCTCATAGTAAGTCAAACAAAATAAAGGTTAAAATAAAAATTGAAGAAACTATTACTAAACTAAGTGATTACTACTAGTACTATTAAATGAGAATAAAGGAATTAGCTCAACTATGTGATCAAATATTTAGGTGTATGTGTGTATATACATAAACTCACACACATAATGACAACTACCCATATATTCTGATCATAAATGAGCAATTAAGATATCTGAGTTATGATAACTAACTTTTCAAACTGAAATAGGTTATTAACATCTGTTGAATGTAGATGTGTTTTTATGTTTAAGAAAAATAAATGAAATAAGGCCAAAGCCCATTCTCTACTATAACAAAACAGAAATTTTAAAAATAGTATCTGAAGAAGTTTACTATACTTTGTAAACAAAATAGTAACAAAAAAATATTAATTACCTCTTGCTCCTTAACTCGAAGAGACTGTCCAACATCTTGTAGTTCCTTTTGTTCCTTTTGTAATTTTTCCTCCTTCTCAGCCAAGAGTTTTTCTTGCTGAACAGTAACTGTATTCTTCAGTTTCAATTTGCCCATTAGGGTTTTCAAATCCCCCTGTAACTTCTTGATAATTTCATTTGCCTGTAAAAGAGCTCCATATGTAAATCTCTACAATCCAATAAACTATCAACATTCTATTATTTTTTAAAACAAACCTTCAGAAGTTCTGCTGATAATGATTTTATCGTAGTTTCAAGTTTTCCCAGTTGTACCTGATTCTTCTCACCACTTTCTTCTAAAGCCACCTGATTTTTTTTTAAAGACATGAATAATTAGGGCATTTATGTTTCTTGATAAAGCATCACTCTAAATGTGCTCATCAATTTCTTTAGAAAAAAATTTAAAGACCTTTTGTTCCTGGATTGTATCAAATGCTTCTTTTGTTCTTAAAACAAGTTGATCTTTATCCTTGATTTCTTGTTCTAAAACTGCCACTTTTGTTTGTAGCTGATTAATATGCTTTTCTTTCTCATGGCATTCAGCATCTAATGTAGAATTCTCTCTTTGCAAAGAGAGGACTTCTTGCTTAGTTCGTTGCAGCTCCTTAGGGTAGAAAAACAGAAATTACACATTATGACAAAAAGGAAACTGGCTAGTCTGGTAATAATTATGTTTTAATTAAGACATTGAAAATATCAAAAATGTACTTAATAATTTTAAAATTCTAATAGATATTTTCTTTAAAAGACATAAAAATCTCCAATGGTATGTATGAATTATATGATTATAATAAAATACATGAGTAATTCTATAATATCAAAGTAAAAAAAAAATCCCAATTTATAAATAAATTACTACAACTTTTAAAAACATTTAACAAGAGTATTGTGATATCTTCCCAACTCGTTTTAAAAGTAGCCACAGGTGACAGCTATGAGTTAGTATTTTTCTCTGTTGCTTATGGTGCTTTTTCCCCCCCTCCTCAAAAAAACGAAAAAAGCTCATACTGCTCAGTAGTTTTTCTGGTGCCAGGGATTGAATCCAGGGCTTCATGGATGTAAGGCAAGCGCTCTACTATCCAGTCACATCCCCTACTCAGTTTTATGATCTACCTTCTCCCCATATTACAAATATCTTTTCACCTCAATAAATAATGTTTCTGGACTTTCTGTTTGTTCACACTCTAAAACAAAAATAGGCAAATGATAATCATTAGAAATAGATTTTTTTAAAAATCTACAGGCCACTTCTCAATCAGCTAATATCAACCCGATTGTAGCTAGTACACAAAAATCTACTATGTAGTATTCTTAGTTACAGTTTCTAACAAAAATTTTAAAGACTTTTTGTGTGTGTGTGTGTGTGATGCTGTGGATAGAGCACAGGTCTTTGCACATGCCAGGCAAGCACTCTACCGCTGGGCTACACCCCCAGTCCTAAAAGATAATTTTATAGTATTATACTATGATGGTTTTAGGAGCACAAACTTTGACATCAAATCAATTTGAACTCAAACTGGGGATTCCCTATAGTGTGATCTTGGGAATAACTTAACCACCCTAAGTCTCCATTTTCTCATTTATAAAACAGAAATTATAAACAAATGCTTCATAAATTATTTCATTTAATCTTCACAAGAATCCTTATATAAACTGCCTAACATTGACTGGCACAAAGTAGATACTCAGATAGTAGTAATTATTAGTTAAGGGTATTAATATCTAAAAATGTAATTTTAAATAATTAGGTAACTGAATACTCAGAGATTAAAAAAAAAAGTTCCCAAGCCTCATAATTTGTAAGCATTTTGCAAATCTTGGAAGAAATACTTTGTTTGGATCATATTTTAAAAAACAACATAATGAAGACTATTAATATACTATCCAGTTTCAGGACTGAGATAGAAAAAATTATATAGCATTATAATGAAGCAATTAGACTCCCAGTGCACCGTGCATGAAGTATGAAATGTTTTACTAACTAGCATAAAAGGTCGAAGGGTGTAGGTGAAAATAATTGGACATCTATTGTCAAGGCAGAACTCTTATGAGGATCTGATCATAAAATCAGTAAATCTTTAGAGCTTCTTGGCATAACTGACTACTGAAATTAAGTCTGGTTCTCTTTGCTGTTAAATACAATAAACTAAAGATATCTACAAGCCAGGGGCTAGAGATATAGCTCAGTCGGTAGAGTGCTTGCCTTGCATGCACAAGGCCCTGGGTTCAATCCCCAGCACCATATTAAAAAGAAAGAAAAAAAAAGAAATAAGAGGTATCAAAAATATCTACAAGCCAAGCATAGTAGTGTATACCTCAAGCCCTAGCTATTTGGGAAGCTGAGGCCAAAGGATCATTTGAGATAAGACGCTGAAGACCAGCCTGGGAAACATAGTGAGAACCTATCTCAAAAACAACAACAACAACAAAAAAAAAAAAAAAAACCCAAAAAACAACTACATATACTTTCTGATAACTCATGTGATAATAATGTATAATAATGCTAGGTAAGAAACTATCTTCCTTAGGTAAGTTACTTAACCCCTCTGTAACTTATAAAACAGGGATAATAACAGCACCAAAAGAATTTTAAGAATTGAGTGAAGGTACACAAAGCACTCAAGTAGTAACCATCACATATTAAATACTTGGTAAACATTAGCTATTATTACCTTTACCATTATCACTACTATTACGGAACACTAAGCCTCATATAATTGTCTGATATATTATGTAGGCTGAAGGAAAGAATTAGCCCTGTCACACTGAATACCCCATGAGATAACGACACTACTATTAAAAATATACTGAAAAATTGGGGCCGGGGCTGTGGCTCAGTGGTAGAGTACTTGCCTAGCATATATGAAGCACTGGGTTCGATCCCTGGCACCACATAAAAATAAACACAAATAAAATAAAGGTATTTTGTCCATCAACAACTAAAAAAATCTTTTTTAAAAAATATATACTGAAAAATCAGAAAGATGTGCCAAAGAACTAATCCTCTAGTTCCTAACTAAAGATATCCAAGCCTACCTCAATTCTGTCTGAGTTAGCTCTTTTTATCAAATTTCAGTCATTTTGCATTTATCTGAAATGATTATCCTAACACCATAAAAGATCTTTGTGGTACATCCAGAGAACCCCATCCACATAAGTAATATAAGTAACCAAATTAAAATGAAGTGACCAAATTAAAACACTCTTTTAAATTAGGATGCAGGGGTAGAAGCCAACATACCTCTTCAACACCAGAAAGTTTTGCTTTAAGTTCTCTAATATTGGAGTCTCCTTTATATTTCCTTTCAGTTAGGTCTTTATTAAGTGCCTCTAACTCTGACAATCTGTTCTGTAGCTGGTGGATATTTCGTTGATGGAGGATTTCTAAATCTTTTTTCTGTTGTTCATGCTGCTGTTGATATTGAACCTGTACCTATTATTGAATAAAAATAAATGAAAAAAAATCACAAATATATGCAAAGATTTGAAGAAAAATAACCCCAATTTCTTCTTTAAAGTTATTAGGTTTCCTGTTTTTAAAAAGGTCTATTTTCAATTATGGTTTTCCAGAAGGAGAAAGTATACCAATAAAAGCAAATCTACCATTGTGATCTTGTTCATAATCTCTACTTCTCTTAAACTCACATGTTTGGAAGTAATGATCATTAAGTTAAGGGAAGAATGATATATGATTAAGTAAAAAAAGAAAACAAAAAAATGTACATCTAGTATGAACATATTTGCACTAAAGAAAAACTATTGCTTAAAGCACCACAGTATTGTTTCAGTTCTTAACAATCAGTATATATATATATATATATATATATATATATGTTTTATAATGGAAAAATATCTGTAACTGTAAAAATGGCCAGTTTTAATCACTGGTCTAATCTCATAGTCAGTAGTTATATTTTATCAACAATAAAATGTGAACATAGTTGTAATGATGCAATCTCTGATGCCTGTTCCAATCATACCACACTATCTATTAATGAACACTATCAAATTCAAAAATCTTTTTAAAAAGAAAGCATATTTTTTTGATTTTGAAAGATATATACATTCTTAAAGGCACAATGGGTATTACAGATAACATATAATCCTATACAAGGAGTCACTCTTAAATATTTTGGAATATTCCTTTCTTGTCATTTATATATTCATATTAACATCCCACATTTATGCACAATACACATATTCAAATTTATAAAACAAAATCAAGATATGTACACAATTTAACCATGTTTTTTATTCCTGTACAATTTACATGTTCTCCCTTTGTAAATATTTCATGCCATGGCTACTGATAATTCACCTAACCCCTGCTCCAATATAGACATTTTAGTTTCCAGTTTTTCACAATTAGAAGTAAAACTGTATTAATCATAGATCTGAAATCCAAAATCAAAATTAGTTTCTCATAATCAAATTACTGATTGGAGAATATAAACAACAACAAAAAAAAAACCTAATAAAGTTACAAGACTGGCCAGGTGTGGAGGCTCACGAATGTAATCCCCGAGATGCAGGAGGTTAGCAAGTTCAAGGGTAGCCTCAGCAATTTGGCAAGGTCCTAAGCAACTTAGTAACACCTGTCTCAAAAAAATAAAAAGGGCTGAAGATGGAGCTCACTGGTAAAGCACCCATGGGTTCAATCTCGAGTACCAAAATAAAAATAAAAATATTAAAAAATAACATTCCAGAAAACTTGTTCCCATTCAAATTCTTATCAGTAGTGTAGGAGAACTCCTCTTTCATAAAATATTCTGAGACTCTTACAGTTACTACTTTAGGGAGTCCCTCATTTTTGGAGAGAAAGGGCAAATGACATAAAAACCAGAAAGGAGCCCATATAAAAATGAAAATACCATCATGTAAAATACTGAACAAGTAATCATGAAGAAAAAACTAGAATAAGCCTATGAAGACATTAAAGACAATCAATAGAGGACAAGTGCAGTACAAATAATGATTTTATTGCAGTCCTTTTCTAAAGAAAGAAAAAGAATGAGTGATAGGATTACAAAGTATATATATGTTTACTTCTGAATCATTTGAACTTTTTAGAAAAAAAAAAATAAGAAAAATCATTTCCATTCTGGAAGATTAATCTTTGGCAGGATAGCTTCAGGAAAACAATAAAACCCAATGAAAAAGGGATAATTTGTACAGGTAGAAGCATATTTGTCAAAAGAATATCCTATGGGGGGTGAGTAGGGAACAATGGAGTAACTTTGGATTGGACAGAGGGGAGGGAGGGAAGGAAAGCGGGTGGGAAAGATGGTGGAATGAAATGGACATTATTACCCTATATACATGTATGATTACACAACCAGTGTGATTCTGCACCTTGCACAGCCAGAGGAATGAGAAGTTGTGCTCCATTTGTGTACAATGTGTCAAAATGTATTCTGTCATGTATAACTAATTAGAACAAATTAAAAGACTATCCTATATAGTCTTAGGGCACACAGTAGTTTTAGGAGAACATCAGATGCAGAAAAATATTTGCGGGATGGATTTATAAGAATTGAAAAACAAACATTAATAGAAAATTCTATGAAAAAGAAAAGTAAATAAGTAGGATCAAGAAAATAATACAGGACTGGGGCTGTGGCTCAGTGGGTTCAATCCTTAATACCACGTAAAAATAAATAAACAAAATAAAAATATTGTGTCTATGTATAACTAAAAAAATTTTTTTTAAATAATAATAATACATAAAAGAAGGGTGATTCTACTTGTTGCTAGGACTTTCCTCACAGAAAATCTACTATTAATATAAAGAAATTATTGTACAAATAATTAAGACAACTCATATATTGCTTTCTTTTAAATATTTTTTTAGTTGTAGATGGACACAATACCTTTATTTATTTATTTTTATGTGGTGCTGAGGATCAAACCCAATGCCTCACGCATGCCAAACGAATGCACTATCACTGGGCCACAAACCCAACCCAGTATATATTGTTTTTTAAAAGCATGAGAAATAAGTATGAACAGGCAAAACTAACCAATAATGACAGAAGTCAGATAAGTGATGACCTTCTACAAGAGTATTATATAAGTCAGGAAAGCACACAGGGGAACCTAGACGGGTAGTACAATTTTCCAAATCTTAATTTTGGTGAAAGTTACACATAAAAAAAATCATCTGTACCCTCAAGTGCAAACATCTGGTAAAGTGAATAAAAAATTTTAGTATTAAAAAAGCTATAAAACAGGGGCTGGGGATGTGGCTCAAGCAGTAGCGCCTGGCATGCGTGCGGCCCGGGTTCGGTCCTCAGCACCACATACAAACAAAGATGTTGTGTCCGCCGAAAAACTATATTAAAAAAAATTCTCTCTCTCTCTTCTCTCTCTCTTTAAAATAAAATAAAATAAATAAAAAAGCTATAAAACAGAAGAAAGAAGTCACACTACACAGCAATAGAAAATGATAATTACACAACAAAAGGGAACAAAAGATATTAAAAGGTAATCCTCAAAATAAAAATCATCAAAAGTCATGTTAAAGGTTGCTTATATTCCCTCTAAATCTAAGAAATGTAAATCAAAACAAAGTACTACCGTGATACCTATCAGGTTTCAAATAATAAGGTTAATAATAATAATAATAATAATAAGGAAATAATTATCTTAGGGATTATATTTAGTATAACTTTTTTGAGTGGCAAATTTACAGTATCCCTCAATATTTTATATAGCTATATTGCAATCTCAACAAAGAATGTCCACTGCACTATTGTTCGTAATAGCCAAAATATCAAAGCAGTTATATATCCTCCAGTAAGTAGATAACATTATATTCGATGAATACTATGCAGCCACTAAAAAGTAATATCTGAACTGATAGAATTATCTCAGGCAAAGTGAAAAAGGCTATAATCTATATATCTAATAAGACTTCAATAATACAGAACAAAATTAAACTCACCATGTGTGCACATATATCTATAATTATAATTTGCATTAGTATAAATAAACAAATATTTACAAGTCACATATTATTTACACATGCAGAGAAAAGTTCAGAAAAGTCACATCAAAATGTTTATAAATTATCTTTTAGTTTAAGTTTGAAAGATAAACTTTCAATTTTTATATACTTCATAATGCTTGAACAATTTAAAGCAAGCATTTATTACTTTTATAATTAACAAAATCAACAGCAATAAAAATTTATTTTTCCAGTTACTTCTAATATTCTTACCTGTAAAGCCTTTTCCTTCTCATTCGTCAGTTCTTGAGAATGCTTATTTGTCAATGATGCTGTGTGTGATTCCCATTCATTCCGTAACTTTTCTAATTCTTGTATTTTTTCTGATAATGTCTATATTAGAATTTGGTACAAAATATTAAGATAATCTCCCGAATATTTTACACTTCTGAATAACACACGGCAATACTTAAAAGGGTATTAAAGAAAGTGAAATTTCAACTTGTCAAGACATACTCAAACCTTTTTTATATTTTTATATTTGATGTTTTATATTTAAGGGAATCAAGATTAGAATAAAAGGAATTTTAGAGCTCAAATGGCCCAAAATTGAGCTTAATTATCTTTAATTAAACTTTTAATTATATCTAGCACTTAGCCTGGAATGGTGGCACATTCCTGTAAACTCAGCTACTGGGAAAACTTGAAAGAGAAAGACTAAAAGTTCCAGGCCAGACTGGGCAACTTAGCAAACCCTGTCTTAAAATAAAAAGGGCTGGAAATGTAGTTCAGTGGTAGAGTGCCCTTGGGTTTAATCTCCAGAAGCATTCTGGTAAGGCAGCAGAACACAACAGACACTAGTATGGCAATATGTAAATCAATGGATGTGTAACTGATGTGATTCTGCAATCTGTATATGGGGTAAAAATGGGAGCTCATAACCCACTTGAATCAAAGTGTGAAATATGATATATCAAGAACTATGTAATGTTTTGAACAGCCAACAATAAAAATTAAAAAAAAAAAAAAAGAAGTAAAGCAACCTAGGTGGAACACTCAACTCATAAAGAGGAGTTAATTTCTTATACATACAATGCAGTAACATGATCCCCAGTATTTTCTGCCTGAAGCCATGCAGCTTATCAGGTAATTTGGGGAAAATGTGTCAATTTAAAGGACCAATGGCAAAAATGCAGTACCTACAACTGAAATGAGATGAAGCCCAGCAGAGGAATTAATTCTAACCACAAGGGAAGAAAGGTTTAGAACATAGGAACTGAAAAGCCATTTTAAGTCAAAGAAATGAGGTGAATAAAAGGAGAGAAGAGAACTAATATATGATAGAAACTAAATATCTTATTTCATGAAGAATTACAGAAAGCATGTCATATTGGAGATGATAGAAGGTTTTAGTGGAATTAAATAAAGGAGAAAGCATGACATTAAGGAAATTAGTAGGTGAAAGGTAGCAAAAAGCAGGGGAAATTCAATGGTAAAATACTTTGAAAGAAAATACAAAGCATGGACTTAATTCAAGAAGCAATTAAGAATCAATATCTGACTGACTTACAAAGACAAAATGAAATATGAATTACCTTTTGTGTCAAGTTCAGTTGTCTAGTAACATCATCTAGTGATTGTGTCAATGATAATATTTCTTCCTATTTATAAAAATAAAATAGTGCAGTTTATAATTTAATTCAATCATCTGTAGCCTTGCTACTCAAAGTATAGTAAAATAAGCACTGGCATCATCCTAAGAGCTTGTTAGATACACAAAATCTCTGATTTTCTAAATCAGAATCTGCATTTTAACAAGATCCCCATATGATCTATATGCACCATTTACAGTGGAAATGCACTGATGTATAACATTTAACGTAAAAAAATTTCTAAAAACTCTCAAGTGGCAACACTATGATTATTCTTGTGCCATATATCTTATTACACTTTTTAATATTTAAGACACTTTCATATATATAAAATCTCATTAGAGTAGATATTCTCATAGATATATACTAGCTGATGGAATCATGACACAAGTGTTTTAAGTAGCCTGCCTAAGGTTATAGAACACTAGTAAAAATCCTGGGACCTAAGTTTCTCAATTTCTGGTCTAGTTCTATACTTGCTGTACCTCAACTAAATGAAAAACAACAAACTAAGTTCATTACATGCAACAAACCTTTATTCAGAAAACAAAAAATAAGGGCAATCAATGCAGCTCTTTAGTGATTTATCAAAATACTTTGAAAACTAGTTTAAAAGAAAAACTTACCTTACTACATTTCAAACAACCTGCTAGGAATTTCTTTATTTCCACATCATTTCCAGGTAAGAGTTTTAGTGAGAGATGTGTAAGATGCTTAAAAGGATTTGTCTCTATCACATTTAAAAATGCAGGTGAATTATCCAAAATAGCTGCTGGAGAAATTAACTGTAGCAAAAACCTTTAAAAAGAAAATGTCACATTATAACAAACTAATGAAATAATGAAGCTCCTCTTCTTAGAAAGACCAGAAAAGAGAGCACACTGAAATCATAGGGGCTAATGTAAAAGGACTCCCACTGGTAAAAGATAAGTTGGGGTGTTGGGGTGAGAAAGGTTGACAAAACACAGTAAATATATAAAAGTCCTTGAGTTCATAGTGAGAAGGCAGAAAGCAAAACCTAAAACCAAAAATTCATTGAATGCCACAGGAGTAAACAGTTTACGAGTTCCTAACTATGAAAGCTAACAATTTAAAAGTATGAATCAAGCATTTATGTTTTCCTATATGAACTTGCAAAGTCATCAAATAGCCCTGCTTGATAAGGCAAAGTTGATAGAAGAATTATACCAACGTAGAAAGAATGATAGATTTAGAAAAGCATCATTTTGTAGTTCCTATAGAAATAAATGACTGAAAAAAATCATCAATTCATGAAACCAATATAAGGTTGATGGCAAATGGCTTAGGCATTAGCACCCCAGATATGAACATGTACATACAAAATCTTATATTTCTTGTTTTCCAAGATCAGTAAAAAAGCAAATACTTGATGCTATATTTTAGATAACTTCAGTGGTTTTGTCAAAACATGAGAATTAATAGTTAAATATTTCTGATTTTAATCAAGACTCCTTAAAGTTTGAAATTTAGTGGATCCCTACTCCAGTTTTAAAACAAATAGGGTTACTTAGAATTCATGGGAAATATTTTGCCATCAGCTCGTCTTTCAAAGGCGTCTATCTTGTTTAATAATGTAGTATTCTCATGCAACTTACCTTGGAATTTCTTTAACATGTTCTTGAGTACACTGTTGAAGGAGATCTATAAATTTTTGTGGGAAAGCTAAGAAGTCTACCAGAAGACCTTGCTGGAATTTTAAACTATATAAGAAACAGGAAAAGAATTTTTTTAAAAATTTAATTACTATCTTTTATATAATTAATACCCAAAAAGATTTTTTCTTTACTAAACACCTATTATAATCAAGAACTAAGCCAGTGAATTTATATTTTATAGAATTTACTTAATGAGAGAAAAAAGTACAGAAATTTAGTCAAAGCTAGAAATTTCTGAGCTGTTATATGTAGACTTCTGATATTCTATGAATATTTATTTTCAAAGACATTGTTAATCAAGTGTGGGAGGCCGACATAGCATGTAATCAGCATTTGCTTCCCCTCCTGGTCAGCTGAGGCACTGTAGGTCACCCTGTGATCTGGTTGCTTTTAAGTAACTGAAGACGGTAGCCAGATCTTGAAGGTAAAGAAAACACAAATGTGTCTCCCTGCATGGGTGTGCCTTCCTACAGCCCCATGGGTTGAGCTATGCTCACTTGTTCCTTTGTGATATTACCCCTTGCCCTGTTTGGGATAAAATGTTCCTTGGAAACGCCCTTTGTGTGTCCCCTGCCTTTGGGTGTGGCCTTCCTAGATGTCAGTCAGCCTGCTGACAGCAGACATCATGAAGCTAGACTCAGCCCCTTAAAACCTGACCCTTTGCCTCATTTGAATGTCTTCTCCTCAATAAAAGGGGTCAGCACTTGCTTTCTCTCTCTCTCTCCTTCTGCAGACCCTTGAGGTCAAAGGAGCCATCACAGCATCCCCAAAGAAAAAGGTATTTCTGTCTCTTGTGTGGTTATTTCGTGCAGCCCAGTTCCCCTGGAGTGACCCCTGAGTGTTTTAGTGACGTGCAACACAGCAATCAAGTGTACAACAAACAATCCAGTATTCCCAGAATAACTAAAAGTTCTAAATAGGTATGTTTCAAAGAGAATAGTACAAATACATTCATATAACTGAGAAACTTATTCCTAGTTTTAAATATAAGAACAGAAAAAAAATTACTTACCTTTGAAAATCTTCCTCAGATATAATAAGATTATACAGAAAAAATGGATCTGTATCATCAGTCAGACGAATAACCAAATCCTAAAAAGAAGATTTTAAAAAAAAAAAAAAATGTTTTCAGAAAATCTTCCCTCTTGAAAGGAAAATTATCCAGTAAGATCAACATATTACCATGATTACTTCAGTTAACTTTGTTTCCTGGTGCTGTTTATTTTTTATTGTTCTTTAGAGACTTAGAATCTTAAACAGGAGTAGATATTCTGCTACTTGAAAGCCTTAGAGAGGTCTGTAAAAGTAAATTAAATACTAGGAATTGAAAGTTTAGGGATATAATCCTATCAGAGGCATAGGGAAATTTAGATGAGTCTTTGCTGCACTATAGCATAATGGCAAAAATATTCTTTACCACTGAACATACTGCATTCAATTATATTTTGTTTCCCTTAAATTAACTAACCTGGTATTTCATAAGCAATAAGTGTATCAACAGGAGAGGAATAATCATCCATCCAAGAGAAGGAAGGAGCTTCTGGGGCTCAGGTAAAAGATAAGTATCGGGTGACGTACTGCCAGGTATTCTTATTAAGCGTCTATTCTCTCCTACTCCAGCTGGCTAACCCATCTGTCTTCATTTTTCTAACAAAGTGTGTTCCTTTCATAAAGACTACTTCCCAGGTTATCAAATTTACAGTGTGGCAGAGCATTATAGCAGCCAATGCTGACAGAAACAGACATCAAAATTATGTATGCAAGGAAAATATGGTGTAACTACAAGATGAGCAGGGACTAATAAAGCACTAAGCATTCAGGTTATGAATAAGTTTGAAGTAAAATCTACTCATGACTACCAAGGAACTGCTAGGGCCCTAGAAAAATCTAAGCCATTAATAAGTAGAGCTAGGAAAATGAAGAGGTTCAGCAGGTACAAGGAATAATACCAAAAATGCAATCAATAATCTCCACCCTGGAAAATTAATCACTCAGGTATTTGCTCTGCCTTATAATGCCCCATTGTTAAGCAGCTTCCACTGAAGTACTTCTTGAAATTCACTCCAAGATATTATTAAACAAAACAAAAACAAAAGCTACTACTTAGGTCCTTAAATATGTTCAGGGAAACCTATAACAGAGAAAGCAAATGCTGTATTTCTTAGCCCTCTGGTCTATTTCCTTAGCTCTGTTAATGACTCTTACTTTTGAAGATAAGATGGAACCAATGTTCCAAGTGCCTCTCTTCAAAAGGTAAAGATTCAAGAACATCTCTTTAGTACTTCAATTTATTCTGTTCGCACATTTATAGCATGAAATGCCAATTTTTTAAAGCAGCAGAACATATCCTTGCAACTTTTAAATGTTCTGGGCAAACCTAAGGAGATTGTTACCACAACCCCTAATTCTTCTTGTATGATTTAAAAATATATGATATAATTATATTCTAGTTGTCTCAGTAGATTTCACCATCTTAGACTGAAAGTTACAAAGTGGCCCAAAATTAAAAAGCAAGATCTAAAACTGAAGACCTCCCGTTCTTGAAAAAACAAAATAATTATCTATAATATTCAGAAATTATCACATTTTGAAAAACAGTACTAACCTTTCTATGAACTGGATTAGAAACTGATTGCAGTTCAATGCTTACTCTAACATTTATTCTCCTACATGAAAAGACAATGCCAACAGTTAGAAATATTCAGATGAAACAAGTTATCACCATCATAACTACTTTTAAGTCTTAAAAGCCACAAGACTTTTCACAAGACTTTCTACTTATTTTGCTGTGCTGGGGATTAAACCCATTACCTTGCCTTGAGCATGCCAAGCAAGAACTCTACATCCACATCCCCAGCCCAATGAAGAGACTTTCAGAAAGCACACTGGATTTGAAGTTTGTTATTGTTGTTCTTCTACTAGGTAACCTAGTAGCTTTTAAAGCTAAATTTTTCTCACCTATAACCTGGGGGACAGGATAAATGGGATAACAAATACGCCTGGTACCACTCTGGTATATAAACATACTGCCCTGATTCTAAAATACCATCTACTGAAAGACAAACCATCAATTTAGTAAAAACTTTTTTCATTAAGAAAAAAAATAGGATTTCAAGTGATCGAACTGACTTATGACACATTACATTTTAAAAACTTAAAATGTAGCTGGACCGGGTAGTACACACCTATAATCTCAGAGACTCCAAAGGCTGAGGCAGGAGGATCACAAGTAAAAGGCCAAGGCCATCCTCAGCAACTTCGTGACCCTGTCTCTCAAAAAAATAAAGAAAGAACTGGGGACATGGCTCAGTGGTTAAAAAAAAAAAACCCTGGATTAAATCCCCAGTACTGAAAATAAAAAACTTGAAATATGAATATTAGAATGAAGAATATAACATTCTCCCTACTCTTCTGCACACATACATGTTTTTTAGATATACAAACTAAGACTTTTCCACATTCTACTACTTATCTACTACAGAAAAAAAAAGTATAAATATTGAATCGAGTATTAATGGGAAAACTTGGAAACGATTCTCTAAAATTCAACTGCTTAGATATTTTATCCTCTAATTGGTAACTGTATATTCCTTTAAAATGTGTCATTCTTGTTAAGTTTTTTACTGAACATATGAGTAAATGCTAAATATTAGTTTATATGAGGAAGTTAAATGTTACCACACTTAACTGTTATCTGAAAAGTAATAGCAGCACTGATCTTCTACACCACAAAGACAGAAAGAATTACTTTTAAAATGAGAATATGGTATTTCTATTTATCTAGTATTGTAGAGCAATGTATGTGAAACACATCAGAATACCACTTCAATTTCACTTAAATTAAGCTTTCTTGGGAGGAAAAAAACTTCCTAATTTGTAAGACAAGCAAATTCAATCAGATGGTTTGTGAGGATTTTTTTAGTTCTACAATGTCATTATGTCATGTTTGGTTTTCATCTTTCTAAGTTTATTCAAGAACATACTCCCATAGTGATATGAACTGTGACAACTTTTTATGCTTTACAGCTTCAGTTTTAGAATCAATGTCAGACTTCATAATTTATAGGGAAAAAAATTCAAGAAACATCTATTTAATAAAATGTCCTTTATATGATAATTTACCAATCATATAATTATATTCTTGCATATATTCAAAATGCCTATATGTATTAGATGTTGGAAGGAAATGGAGGCAAGATCCATAAATTAAACATTCTCCATGTTTACTTTGATAACACCATAGAAATATCTTGTAGAGAAGACACCAGGGTGCATGCCGGTAATCCCAGCAACTCGAGTGGCTAAGGCAGGAGGATAGTAAGTTAGGGTCTCACTCAGCAACTCAGTGAGACTCTAAGCAGCAGACCCTGTCTCAAAATAAAAGATTAAAAAAAAAAAAGAGGTGTGGCTGTGGTTCAGTAGTAAAGTGCCTCTAGGTTCAATCCCCAATACAAAAAAAAAAAAAAGTAGGAAAATCTGAGCTTTCAGAAATACCTATCTGAAATCACAAATCTTATTTTCTCTATATAATGGTTAATGACAAAAGACCTATATAAAACAAATAAATAAATCTCAATAGAAGGTATTTCTCATCTCAGTATGTGTCCCACTCTGAATACTATGAATCTACATAACATCCTCCAGGTAGTAGATTTGAACAGGTGTTCTTTTATTTAAAAAAGCATTTTAAACTTCAGACACTAGATAAACTGGATTCTTGCCCACTGCTGTCACCCAGTAGCTGTGATCTTAACCTCTCAATTCAAACAAATGAAAGCTACTCTAGCCAGCTACTATGCCTGGTGCTAGGGATACAAACAGAAACAAACATGGTCCATGTTTTCAAATTGAGGTCAGATTAAATCACTTTTCCACAGATTTGCTTCTGATTATATTTTATGAATTCATGAAAAGGGAAAGGTTACCAATACTAACTGAGTACCTGGTGGACAATTTACATATCTTATTTAACAACAATAATCTTATCTACTTTAACAAATAGTTTAAATCATTCTAAAAAAATTTTTATGGAAGAACACAAGACACATTGCAAAGACTAAATTAGAACTCAGATGTCTCACGTATACCATGCTAATAAATGAATAATTACTTTCAACTTGGGCAACTTTAAAAGATCCTTATAATGAAAAAATTTAACATACACCTTGGAGATTATGAAAGAAAAAGCATTGAGGCAGACAAAATAGCAGGAATAAAGTATGGTATAGAGAGAGTATGAGATACATTCAGAAAATAACAATAATTCTTTCATAACTAACATACCAGAGTGGATTTTTTTTTTTTTTTTTTGAGGAAAGAAAACTGGAAAAGCAGGTTGGTAACAAATCATGGACTTCAAAACTTGACATCATTTTCCTCCAGAGTTCCCTGATCATTAATTACCTCTATTCTTAACTGAATTTCTTTCTTCTCTGTGACTTTAATAATCACACTATATCAATAGCTAAAGTTTAATGAATGTTTATTATACTCTAGGCACTATTCTAAGCACCTTAAATGTATTAACTCATTTCATCCTCATAATAATCCCATGAGATAGGTACTATTATCATGAATTTAAAAATGCAACACAGAGAAGTTAAATAAATTGTATGAGATCAGGGCTAGGGGTGTAGTACAATGGTGGAACACAGGCCTAGCATATGTAAGGCCCTAGGTTCACACCCTCAGTACACATACACACAAACGCAAAATATCATAAAAAAGCTTCAAAAAAAATTGTACAAGATCAAACAGTGAATAGTGGCAAAACTAGAATTTAAACCAAGGCAATCTGGCTCCAGAGCCCATACTTGTGCTGTGCTGCCTTTCTAAAGGAAATCTTTTGATTTCCCCAATTGAACTCTTGAGTTTCTTGAGGGCCACAACAATCATTGTTTTTTTGTTTGTTTGTTGAGTGAGTGAAGTAAAAGGGAGCATTTCTATCCTTAGCACCTAGGACAGTTTCTGGTACATAGTAGCCATTTGCATCTATTGGTTGAGTTGACTGGCCTTGAATAATTAAAGAAATCTAAGAGGTTGTTCTTCTATAGGTTAGGATTAGTAAATTATTCTTTTTTTTTTTTTATAAAGAGAGAGAGAGAGAGAGTTTTATTAATATTTATTTTTCAGTTTTCAGGGAACACAACATCTTTGTTTGTATGTGGTGCTGAGGACTGAACCCGGGCCACACGCATGCCAGGCGAGCGCGCTACCACTTGAGCCACATCCCCAGCCCAGTAAATTATTCTGTAAAGTGCCAGAGAGTAAATATTTTAGGCTTTTCAGGTTACAGGGTTTCTGTCTCAATTACACATTTCTTTCTTTCCTTCCCTGCAGTTCCTCCCAGAGCCCCACAAATGCTAGGCAACTGCTCTGCCACTGAGAAATATCTCCAATCATCCCCCTGCAAAAAAAAGACACCATAGTACAATTACTCATTTCTACCCTTGTGCAAAAATCAGCCAGAGACAATTTGTAAGCAAATAAACATGGCTATGTTCAAATAAAGTTTTATTTACAGTGGCCCATCTGTCTCACTATTTAGTTTGCTGAATTTTGCTACAGATCCTAAGACTATATGAAAGATTACTAATAAGAAGAATGAAAAAGCTGAAATTATGTTTTAAGATGATAAACTGAGATAACAATGTACAGAAGGAGAAGAGCTAAGAGTTTCAATGTTGGAATCAGAAATGATGATCCCTTTTTCTTTGTATAATCATTGTAGAACAGTGTTGCCCTATTAGATCTGTGACAATGCAGGTCACAAATATGAGCAATGTATGTAATAATTTAAATTTTCTAGAAACCACATTTTTAAAAAGCTTTAAAAAGCAGGTAAACTAATTTTAAGAAAGCATTTTATCTGGCCAAATATATCTCAAATATTGCCATTTTATCAAAATGAAAACTGAGAAAGTTTACATTCTTTTTTCCCCACACAACATGTTTTCAAAATCCAGTGTGCATTTCACACAGCACATCAGTTTGGATGTGGCTAGTGGATACCATACTAGCAGAACAAAAGAATAAAAAAAAATAGGGGGTGGTGGTGGTTGTTGTCATATAGCTCAATGGTAAAGCATGTGCTTAACATGAGCAAGAGCCCCGGTTCCATTCTCAAAACCAAAAAAGAAGAGGACAAAGAATGACCAAGCCAAATAACAGATCTCCCATATGCACCTTTGGTTTTGGTACCATCTCCTGTCTGGCTTGCCAACTCATTTTAGATTCAATTCTTAATTACATACTACAGTTTAACATTACTGGCAATTCAATAAATCAATGTCATTTTATGCTACACTCTATGCCATTTAGTTTTTTACATACATTTTCCACTTGATCCTCATTAACAACTATGTGGGTAGTATGCTCTATCAATTTCACAGATGAGGAAGCAATGTTCACAGAAGCTAAGAGAGAGTCCATGGGTGAAACGAAGAAAAAAAATTAGATCTCCTGACTTCTAGTCCAGCCTATTTAGGTTCTAGCGGCACCACTACCTTAGTGAACGTTGCAATTTTGCACTTAGTTGAGAGGCTGGCCTGTATTTCCTCTACTGGGCTGTAAACTACACTAAGACCAATGCATGCCCCGTTCTCTGCCAGGTGTTTACAAGGAGGCAACATTTCTTGAGTGAGTTCGCTGAGTTTCCGATTTTCTCATTGTTTTTGATCAATTAAAAGTAATTTTATGAGTAATGTGAATAAGACCACTGAAATTATTTCTTTTTAGTTGAAGTTGAAAAATGTATTCCCAGTATGCTTCAAAGGAGAATGAAAAAAATGGCTGGAGGCTAAAAGGCCCGAGTTCTCATGCTGACCCAGCCACGAGCTCACCGTGAGAGCTGGTGTCAATTAATTTCTCTGGGCCAGAGCTCTTACCTGCCAAAAATAAACATCATCTGCACGGTGCCATTCGGAAGTTAGGATTTTTGACATACTCAAAGTGAGTCGGTTTCCCATTTCCTCATCCCTTTCCTTTCGTCCCCTCTGCAACAGCCGACTCGGGGAAAGACGAAACTAGGAGGTCCCGGCTGAGTGCTAAGTTTCCTAGGGGCCAGCCCGACACCCAACCGCAGGCCGGCGCCCACCGGCCGAAGCCGCCATTTTCCCCATTGGCCCGACCCCAACCGCCACCCGCCGACACTGGGTGACGCGGACCTAACCTTTCCTCGCAGTCTTTGCATTTCATCTGCAGCGGAACTAGTTGCTGGAACAGAACTTGGCTCATGTTGGATCCCTGCCCCGGCCGCTGTACGGAAAAGCCAAACAGGCCGGTCCTCGGTAGTAGCCTGAAAGACGTGCGGGTCCTGACAGAGTTTTGAGTTTGGCGCTCGGCTCCCGCGGAGGAGGCGGGGAGAAACAGAGGGAAAACGAAGGAGGTTTGGACCTCACCAGACACCATCAGTCTCTTCCGGTTTTGCTACGGAAGGGATGAGGGCGGGGTACTGTTTCCGAGGATTACCTGTGTGGCCGGACCCGAGGACGCCATGCTTGTTAAGGGAAAACGACCCAAAGGAAACTGACAACTTTTGCTCTGGGCGCCGGATGCTGGCTACCGAAGCTCACCCAGAATTATGGCGGATTCGGCGCGGACACCGCATGCTACTGGCTTTCCAGCAGAGGGTAGATGCAGTTACTATGTGGAAAAGAAGAAGCGATTCTGTAGAATGGTGGTGGCCGCCGGGAAAAGGTTCTGTGGTGAACACGCTGGAGCCGCGGAGGTCTGGTATCGCCCTAACCTTCTGAGAGTCGACAATAAGTTTACCGGAGCGGTCGGTGCTGGAACCCGACCCCTCCCCTCTTTGACAGGTTTCTGCTTCTGTCCCCTGGATTCTCCAGCTTTTACTTTAATAAACGAAGTTCTGACCTACTTGTGGAGCGATGATGAGCCCTAGTGATGAGCATTGTTTTCTTTTACTAAGTGAAACGCGAGCTGTGACACGTTCATCTTGATCCTAACTCGGGAATGCTAGACTTTAGTTTTGCCCCAAACTGCTGCTCCTTAACTCCGTCCACCCTCCAACTTCCTGATGGGAAGTAGTAGTTTAGAAAAAGTAGCGATTGAAGTTCCCAGAGTTCACTGGTTGTGTTCTTATTGTTGTATCATGAACGATAACCACTTCTTGTAAATGCTCTAAGAGAAACTTCTAAAATTTTTATTTAGGCTTACAATCTCTAGACAGCAACTTACAACTACTTGGCTGGAATGGGGAGGGAATAATTTAAAAATATATAAAAATTGACCTTTTAAAGCTGAAAGTAGAAAGTGTGCAATCTTGTTCGATAATATAATATTCATATAAATATACTATCAACCAATGTATATTTTCTTGTATGCATTATATAAGCATATATATGATATATAAGAATATATAATATATAAGTAATATATAAAATAAGAATATAATATGTAGTATATACTATATATGACATATGTAAGTATATAATATAGAGCATATACTATATATGACATATAAAGTATAAGTATATAATATATATAATAGGAAAATAAAAATAAGAACAAGAGGAGCTGAATCCTGATAGAAAAAGAACATATTCAATAGGATTAGAAAGAACAAACCAAATAGACTAGCATCTGGCTTCATGCCTTCTAAAAGTCCAGTATTATTTGCATTATATTTTTTTTAATATTTTTTTTAAAGATGGATACAATATCTTTGTTTTATTTATTTATTTTTTATGTGGTGCTGAGGATCAACCCAGTACCTCACAAGTGCCGGCCAAGCACTCTACTACTGAGGTATAACCCCAGCCCCTGCCATTATTTTATTTTTGACATTTTATCCTTCTAGTCAAAAATACAGTGCAGATGAGTCCGTTTGTGTAAGACTACATTTCATAGCCACAGCCTACTTCCTGTTTTGGGTTGGTAACATTTACCTAAAGGGAAGCATACTGAAACAAGAACTTTCTTGTTTTGGAATATGGGAAATGTGACTTATTGTGGAAACTACTTGTGAAGTCCTCCTGTAATTTTATTGGCTGATTTTAGGGGGCCGGCAAACACCCTTGGTTGAAGAATGAAATTTATCAGAGCACAAAGATTTTGTTCCCACTCTGTATCCAGACATCTGTAAAGTAATGAAGATGGTAATAGTATTAGAATGTGGCTAAATCTACAAGGTGATTGCTATTCTTAGAAAGGAACTACATGTAGTTATTAGTTCCTTGGAGAAAGACTGCAAAATACCAGGGGAAACACTTTCCAAACACTGGGTTTTGAATTGTTAACCATTCTCCTGAATCTGTAGTTCATGATGTAATTGGAATATTATGTTTTCCTCTTCATCTTTTTTTAAAAGTGACATTGATGACATTACTTAAACCCATTTTTAGCCAGTGATTCTCAACTGGGGATGATTTTGTTCCCCAGAAGACACTTGGCAATGACAGAAAACATTTTGGTTGTCACAACTGGGAAGTATAACTGGCATCTAATGGGTAGAGTCCAGAGACACTGCTAAACCTACAAATCACTAGAAAGCCCCCTTCCAAAAAACAAATTATCCAAGCCAAAATGTCAATAGTGCTGAGGTTCGAGAAACCCCGTTTCTAAATCCAAACAACAAGTTTTAAAAGGTGCTTTTATTCTTCACTCTATGATTGGACTTTGGAAGTTAGAATAGAGGCTTTTCCTACATGGAAGTTAAGTTTTGTTGTTTCTTTTGTTTTTTTGACAGGGATCTTAATTAACCAGGCTGGTCTCAAACTGGTCTTAATGATTTTCCCACCTTACCCTTCCAAGTTGTGGGGACTGTAGACAAGCCCATGGAGGAAATTAAGTTTTAAGTTAACAAATAAGGAATAAAAGTATTTTCAAAAATTTTTCCCATAAAGTTCAGTGTGCATAGTTTTCATGAACATGCTAAGAGGCACATCAGAACTAAAATAAATTGAGAAAAAAAGTCCACAAGAATGAACACTAGCCAGGCTGAAGCAGGAGGATCCCAAATTCAAGACCCATCTGGGCAACTTAGTGACACTCAAAATTTAAATCTAACTGGGAATGTAGCTCAGTGTTAAGGCCTAATATATTCAAGTCCTTGAGCAGAATCCTCAGTACCACACACACAAAAAAAGAGTAAGCCCTTGGTCAGCGTTTATTCTATGGCTAGCACTATGCTAAGCAGCTTTATCCCTTTTGTTAAAATACAAAAAACTAATAGCTCACTAATTTTCACCAACCTTAGTAGGTAAGATATTATTGTTTTGTATGAGGAAATAAGCCTACTTAGGTTATGTAGCTGGTAGCTGATAGAACTGGAAATATATCTCAGTAGTCCTGAACTGGTCTGTGGTTTAACTACTGTTTATGCTGTTCATACAGATTCATATGGAATGTGGAGTAGAATTGCCAAGATTATTAATTTTCCATTTTTCACAGTGCATATAGTTAAATCTGTGTAACTTAAAGTGAAAGGATATAACTGCTATACTGAAAAGTTGAAGTCAGTAGAATATGGCACATACCTAATTGTTAAAATACTGTGTTTCATTGTTTCTAAAATAATTATTTTCAGATTTTTACAACTTAGAGATCAAAACGGTTCTTAAAATCAGTGATATGTCATAATTTAAATGGGTAGTATTTTCCACAGGAATGATAAATGAGATAATACATATGTTAATTAGTTCAATTTACCCATTCCGCAAGGTAAACATATTTCAGTGCATCATGTTGTATATGATAAACATAAAATTTTTGTCAGTTTTTAGTTAAATGGTTAACATTTTTTTCTTTCTTGGTGGTACATAAAATAATAGTGCATATTATAGTAGATGTTATCTTGGATTCAAATTTCTGTGCATATATAGGCCTTTATTATAACCTATTTGAAGCCATAGACACTTGTTTGTCCAAAGCAGTTTTTATTCATATATAGATGTTAGCTACATTGGATATTTTGTTTTTGTTAAACCCTATGACCTGATTTTGCCAATTTTTCGTTATGTCCTTTTAAACTTTTCTTACCTTTTTTTTGACAGTGCAGATACACAAAAGTTATATCTAGTATCTATAAGTAGTAAAACTGATATTTTACTTAACTAAATATATCCCTTTTAACACATTAGGAAGAAAATGCTCGGAAAAGAATCCTGTGTCCTTTAGATCCAAAACAGTAAGTATGGATCAAATAAGGGGTTTTCTCTGGTAGAAACAATAATTGTCAGAAGTCTCATTTTATATTTTCTTTTCAAATTTAGCACAGTATATGAAGATCAACTAGCAAAACATTTGAAAAAATGTAATTCAAGGGAGAAGCCAAAACCTGTAAGTGTTTGCTCAGTAAAACTGAATGGTAAAATGTGTACTATGTTATATACAGTACTTAATATATTACTAATGTGAATATTTAACAAGACTGTTGCCTTGGTCAGTGTCTTTTAAGTTTATATGTATAACATATGAGATTATAAATTCATTCATGGTCTTAATTCAGAGAACAGAATTTTATGGAACCTGAATGTTGTTCAGAGAATAAGTTCACTATTTAAAAACATTTACTTAGTGCCTACTAAAATTATTTCAGTAAAATATTATCTCAGTCTTCAAGGAGCTTGAGACTGGAAAGTAAACTTGTAAATAAAGAATATTGTTCAGTAAGGTCAAATGAAAGGAGCAAGCATAGTATGATGAGAACACATCCTGGCATCAAAATTAAGAACAAATATAAAGGGTTGAGAAAGGTTTCTCAGAGGGAGTAATAGTGGAATTGAGTCTTGATGTGGAAAAGAAAAGGAAGAAGGGTCCTTTTCAGCACAAAGGACAACATGTGCAAAGGCATGGAGCTGAGAAATCACATGATACTTTCAAGAAACTGGAACTTTATTCTGAAAGATATGGAAAACCACTGAAAGATTTTAAGCTTGGGAATGGCATGGCCAAATTTTCCTGTTAAAAAACCTTCTTGGCACTGGGGTTATAGCTCAGTGACAGCACTTGCTTAGCATGTGTGAGGCACTGGGTTCGATTCTCAGCACCACATATAAATAAAATAAAGGTCCACTGACAATTAAAAGAATTTAAAAAACAAAAAATAAAACTTTCTTTAATAGTAATGTGGTAAGACAGCTTGGACTCAGTAGGACTAATTAGAAAGCTATTGTTGACATCCAATTGGGATGTGGTAAGAGACTGATAATTAAAGAATATGGGAAGGGTATAATAGTTATTTAGGTAGCAGAATCAATAAAACTTGGTGTCGGTAAATTCGAGTTGGGTATATGACTGAAATTCAGTAGAGAGCTTGGACAAATAATCAAAAATTGGAAGTCAAATACATACAGGTTATAGGTAAAACTTTGGATTTTTAAGGTACCCAAGGATAAGTGATTTAGGAAAAAGAAAGGGATTTATTTTTCAATAGATATTAAGTGAGCACATATGCCAAATATTGTACCAAGCACCTTGCCTAGAAGAACATAACAATGTAGTGAGGGACATAGAAAATGCAATATTATGTGCTAAACGTGATTAAGTACAGGATGCTAAGGGAGAATAAAGAAGGAGGGCCTAACCCTTTTTTGGAGAATATAGGGCATGAGAGAAATGGGGGAATGAATCATGGAGACATCTCTGAAGGAAGTATCATAAAAGATGAGAGCTAAATGTCAAGGGAGAATCAGCCCTCTGAGGAGGAAAATATATGCAAAGGCTGTGAGAATAAATTCCTTTCTCAGGGACTGAAAATCTCACATAACTAGAATATAAAATAAAAGGAGAGCAAAATAAAAGATGAGACCTGAGAGTAGCCAGGAGTAAATCATGAGATCAAGGACAGAACTCTAGGCAACATTGACATTGAAGGGTGAGCTGCTAAAAAGAACCATAGAAAAAAATTGAGACTGGTGGCTGGAAAGGGAGGAAAAAGAAAAACTGGAAGAGCATGATGTATCAGGAGCCCCAGAAAGACAAACCTCAAAAAGAAAAGAGTGATCAAGAGTTTCTTTTTTTAAAATTTATTCTTAATTTTTAGGTGGACACACAATATCTTTATTTTACATTTATGTGGTGCTGAGGATTGAACCCAATGCCTTGTGCATGCTAGGCGAGCACTCTACCACTGAGCTACAACCCTAGCCTGTGATCAGGAGTTTTTATCATCACAGAGGAATCAAATAAGGATGGAGAAGAAAACATTAGATTGACAATAAAGTGATTGTTAATGATCAGCAAAATTCGTATTAAATAGTGTGGGGAGAGAAAAAATCAGACTAGATATGTGAATAAAAGACAGATAAAGCAGTAAAAACCACAAGCAACAAACTTGGCTTTGAGTGGAACTTGAAAGTCAGAATGGCTCTTAAAATGGGGGAAATTTTATTTATTTATAAGCTCAGAGTGAAGAGCCAGTAGAAAGGAAGAAATAGAAACCAGAAGAGAGCATAATTAATGGTAGAATGTTTCTCAGAAAGCATTGAGGGATAGAAGACAAAATAGAAGTAGAAGGCATCAATAGGGGGAAGAATAATGCTTCCAGTGAAATAGATAGGAAGTAGTAGATGAATATTATTAGTTCAGGCAAATTTAACCAAAAAAGGAATATTAATTGAGAAAGTTCTTTTTGATAGCTGCACTTTTGCTAATCTCTACAATTAAGAGACAAGGTGATTAAAGGGTATGATGCTTATGAAGAATAATTGCTGGGTGTCTTTGGGAATCAGACTGAGTGTAGAGATAATGAATTTGAACTGGCACCTATACAAATGCTTAGGTGGTTTTACTTCAGCAGTATTCAGCAGACCATATTTTGGGATTAAAAGTCACATTAACTTATGATCACACTTATTTATAACTAAGGAGTACATAATACCATAATAACAATTTATCACTCAACAAGGGCTAAAAATTCAGTTCTCTGTTCAGTAACACAATAGGGAAAAAAGTAGCTATATGAGATGACAAGTATGAATTTGCTTCAATATAGTAAGCACTTTACTCTCTGTATGTATTTCAAAACATCATGTTATATACAAAACTCATATACAGAATAAAATTTATTTTTAAAAAGAATAGAATAGAAAAATATATTCACAAAAGTGGAATGTTGAATACATAGTAATGATTTGACAGTCAACCATCAAGACCATCAGCAAACTATAGGTATACATATGTATGTATGTATGTATATATATATACATATATATATGTGTGTGTGTATATATATATGTATATGTGTGTGTGTGTGTGTGTGTGTGTGTATATGGTATGGGGATGTAATTCAGTAGTAGAGTGCCCCTGGAGTCAACCCCTAGTACCACAAAAGAAAAGAAAAAGTCAATAAAGGTATTTAAAAGTGAGATAATATGATTAGGAACAAAAGAATCACTGTGCTTTTTACTAGCATATTACAGAATTGTGGTCAGTTGAAGATTTTAGAAGTTATATGGTTCATAGCAATGACAGTCTAGAGGTCCTTGGAAGTACTTTATTGACATGTACTTTTTGCTTGACTTTGTGAAACTTCATCAGTTTGTAAATATTTTGCATAGTAAATGAAAGTAGGTTGATGGTAAATTTCTCCAACATAAATAATTTTACCTGAATTTGGAGTTCTATTGGACAATATTTATCTAAATATTTACCTAAAAAGTTAAAGCAGAACCGTTCCATTGGGTGACTTTAAAGAATCATTTTGGCTGGATTTTGAAATATAAAATACAATTTGTTTTCAAAATCCTAGTAGATGTCAGACAATGACCTACAGATGAATAGTTGACAACCTCAGGAGATTCAGACAATGATTTAAGAGACTGGTATTTCTCACTGGGCCCTTTGGTAATTTTGATGAGACAGTCATAGCATGTGCATTTCAAAGTATTCCTGTACTTCCCAAAGTACCCATCGTAGCTCCTGAGCAGCAAATGGCAAGTACTGAGAAGGTTCTGAAATTTCATTATATTTCATCATATTTTCAAACTAACTAACAAACTAACCACAGATTTGTGGATGCTGGTAGAAGATAAGTGTTTCCTGGATCAGAGACCAAGTACTTTTTTTTTTTTTTTTTTTGATGCTGGAGTGCATGCTAACCATGTACCCTACCACTGATTTTTACACACATTATTCATTCCTCACAGGAAGCAACAGGAGCTTGTTATTTACATGAATTCTTCTTGTTTCCCAAAGCCTATGGACTCACCACAGAGGGGCCTAGATGAATTCTGCAAATAAAGTGGACTTGGATCATAATTGAAGAACTCCAAATTCAGGAACTATAAATCCTTTTAAACTGGGCAATAAGCAAAGCTGCCTAAACTGTGTCTCATAAGTAGACATTTTTCTGATTTATACTGTATAATAATTAAGCCTACTATGTGACCTAGAAGACACCATTTCTATTTTCCAAGGATATTTGGTATAAAGCATCTTTGAAAAGATAGTCTGAAATAAATTTAGTCAGTGACTGCTTGGAAGACTTATAGAAGATTGAAAGACCCATAGGAAAATTATCTTCTGATAGCACTTGTTCTCAGTCATTTTGACAACAAAATATCCTCATACATTGCCAAATGCCTCCCAGTAGAGAACTACTAGGCTAGATGCTATAAGCTTAGAAGAAAATATTTTAACATTAAGGTACTATAGAAGAAAAATGATGACCATCCACCTCCCCCTTATCTTTTAGCCACTTTAGTAAAAAGAGAAAATAAGGTTTTACTTGGAAATTTCTTCCTTGCCTAATGCCAGGTTTCCATTAAAGCAAGCAAATGCAATGTGTGTTCTGTGAAAAGTTTGAGAGAATGTATGAATTTATTTAAAATGGAATACTTTGGGATGGGTTTCATGCATACCATGGCAAGGAAAGGGAAGAACACAATGGGATGATGAGATGGGGGGAAAAAATACCAAGCAATCTTTATCTGGTACACTATAATATGAAACTTGGAAACTAGGTAGATTCATATCACTGTTTTGCTTGACTTTGTGAAACTTCATCAGTTTGTAAACATTTTGCATAGTAAATGAAAGTAGGTTGGTGGTAAATTTCTCCAACATAAATAATTTTCACATATGAAAGTCTAATCCACAATACAATTTACCTAGAACATTCATTGCAACCATTTTAAAAAATTTAGGAGTATATCAAATTATAATAGGTATAGCTAATTTTCTATTATAGTTTTGTCAATCATCCAACAAACCTTTGTACATGCAGTTTTCACCCATTCCACTCAATTACAGGTTTTCATTTTTAAACATATAAGAAAAGCAAGCAGCACATACTCAGGACGTTAGCCTTCTGCCATCTGTGTAACAGAAGTCTACTACTATGTATAATGAATTGTCTCTGGGAGTTGTTTTCACTTTTAAAGAAAGGATTTGTAGAAACACTATTATTTCATTCATGTAGATCGACACTGTCCAATATGACAGCCACTGTCCATATAAAACTGTTTGAATTTGAATTGAATGAAATTGAAAGTCCAATTTCTCAGTTACACTAGCCATATTTCACTGCTGGTTGCTGCCATGTTGGTTAAGGCAAATATACAGCCTTTCCATCATTGCAGAGAATACTATTGGACAATATTTATCTAAATATTTACCTAGAATTCATATTTCTACAGATGGAATAAGTAGCATAGTGTCACAGTACACTTCTACTTTCAATTTTTAATTAGTATTTTATTTTTTTTCATAATCATCCTTATTTTTGTATTATAATTCTTAATACACCATTATATCATAATTTATCATATCTCTGATTATATATAAGGTATGTTGACACCAAATTCACATCTTCATACATGTATTTTGTATAGTAATGAGGGTCTCCTTTCACCATCCATGCTATTCCCCTTCTCCCTCCCTTTCCCTCCCACCCCTATTCCCTATCTAGAGGTAATCTTCCTTCCTTGCTCTCCCTCCCAACCCCATTTTGAGTCACCCCCTTTATATAAGAGAAGACATTCTGCATTTGTTTTTTGGGGATTGGCTAACTTCACTTAGCATAATCTTCTCTAATGCCATCCATTTACCTGCAAATGCCATGATCTTATTCTTTTTTATTGCTGAGTAATATTCCATTGTGTATAAATGCCACATTTTTTTTTATCCATTCATCCACTGAAGGACATCTAGGTTGGCTCCACAGTTTAGCTACTGTGAATTGTGCTGCTATAAACATTGAAGTGGCTGTGTCCCTGTAATATGCTGTTTTTAGGTCCTTTGGGTATAGTCCGAGAAGAGGAATAGCTGGGTCAAATGGTGGTTCCATTCCCAGTTTTCCAAGGAATCTCCATATTGCTTTCCAAATTGGCTGCACCAATTTGCAGTCCCACCAGCAGTGTATGAGTGACCTTTTTCCCCCTCATCCTCACCAGCATTTGTTGTGGTTCGTCTTCATAATGGTTGCCACTCTTACTGGAGTGTGATGATATCTTGGAGAAGTTTTAATTTGCATTTCTCTGATTGCTAGAGATGATGAGCACTTTTTCGTATATTTGTTAATCGATTGTATATCCTCTTCTGAGAAGTGTCTGTTCAGGTCCTTGGTCCATTTATTGATCAGATTATTTGTTTTGTTTTGTTTTTTTTTTTTTTTTGGTGCTTGTCTTATTAAGCTCGTTATATACCCTAGAGATTAGAGCTCTATCTGATGTGTGAGGGGTAAAATTTTTTTCCTAGGATGTAGGCACCACATACAAACAAAGATGTTGTGTCCCCCAAGAACTAAAAAATTAATATTAAAAAATTCTCTCTCTCTCTCTCTCTCTCTCTCTCTCTCTCTCTCTCTCTCTCTAAAAAAAAAAAAAAAAAAAAAAAAAAAAGTTGGGGCCTAGCCCCACATAATGGAGTTTAGGGCCTACAGAACAATAGTAACAAAAACAGCATGGTACTGGCACCAAAACAGGCTAGTAGACCAATGGTACAGAATAGAGGACACAGAGACTAACCCACAAATATACATGATAAAGGTGCCAAAAGCATGCACTGGAAAAAAGATAGCATCTTCAACAAATGGTGCTGGGAAAACTGGAAATCCATATGCAACAAAATGAAATTGAATCCCTGTCTCTCGCCATGCACAAAAGTTAACTCAAAATGGATCAAGGATCTAGGGATTAAACCAGAGACTGCGTCTAATAGAAGAAAAAGTAGACCCTAATTAGTATTTTAAAGTAGGAAAAAGTCAGACTTACACCATTATAATATCGTTATTTCATTTTGGTCATGCTGCCTGTCTGAAGAAAGTATGTACTCGTTTTTGCCATTACACCATAAAGCAAAATTGGCATAGTCCTTAGTTTATGCTGTAACCAGGTAAAAAATTAAAATTATTAATGAATTTTTAGACTATAAGTTATTCCAATTAATTACCTCTCTAGAATATATGATCGATGAACACAGTTTTTTCTCTTCTCTTATCTACTATGGTGAATCCTTAAAATCTAAAGCAAACCAGGCACCAGAGTAGGTACTCACAAATTATTTAATGACTGAATGGGAGGAAGGGAGGATGGCAGAAACAGAGTTTGGGATAAAGGGGAGTTGCAGTTTTTCAGCTTAATTTTTGTGAACTTCATATTAATTTTTTACGGTTTTGTTTTTTTCAAGGATTTCTTTATTCAGGATATTAATGCAGGCTTGAAAGATGAAACAGAAATACCTGAACAATTAGTAAGTACATAATATTCAATATTAAAAGGTATTTGTAACCTATCTCCATATTGTATAGAAGCCATGTTTCAATTTTTATTTGGTATAAATCTGTTGTTTTCAATTTAGAATGCATTTTCTTATTGAGTCAGTGTTATTAGTGATGGTTAGTTCCCAGACTAGCCTGTGCTCCATAATAAGCTACAGTATGGCTTGAGTCTCCTTTGATTCTTCTGAGCTTAAGAACTTCTTGACCCTAAGGAGGTTAGGGAAATTAAAGCAACAGAGTAGAGACAGAGGAAACATAGGAGTTGAGCAATTCTGGTGGCAGCTTAAGGAAGGGGTTTTATCAGAAAGAAGAGCCTGGGTTGGCCATGGAATTTGCCCAACTATTAATCCTCTGTCATGGTACTTTAAAGCAATTTTTTGCTAAATTATTTATTTTATTTTTGTTTACAGGTTCCAATTTCTTCTCTACCTGAAGACCAGTTGGAAAACTTAATTAAGAAACTGAGAAAAGCAAGTGAAGGTAAGTCTGCCTGAAGTTGTAAGTTAAATTATTTTAGAGTAATTAAAGGGGTATATGAGTTGATTCTGATTTACAAAATGTTACCACCCTTGTTCTGAGTCCTGTAGTTTCATATTTGGTTGGTTAAGCTATTGTATTTACATTTGGCACAGGTTTGAATTCTACACTTAAAGATCACATTATGTCCCATCCAGCATTATATGATGCCCTTAATGACCCTAAAAATGGTGATTCCGCAACCAAGCACCTGAAACAGCAGGTTTGTTTAGACCACAATAATTCTACCTTTCTTCATGTGTTTAAAACTAATCTTCTTTTCTTTCTCAATATAGTTACTAATGAGATTTTGTTTATCTTTTAGGATACAAAATTTTCCAATTTCAAAAATATGTATAAACATAAAAAATTGGCACAGAAATAGTTCTCAGTAGATTATTACATATTAAAAAATGAGAAAAAACTTAAAGCCAAACAAATTATTAGTGCAAACATACTACCTTATACAGAGATTGACTTGCTGTTTTCCCATTTGAGCTAACTATGTTTGCTCTAGTTTATAAAATAATCTTGTGAAGTTTGCAGGCTTCTATTTTAGGTAACATTGAAAAATTAAAGTTACTTGGTCCAAGAAGATGCTTTGTTGAGTTTGGAGCAGGAAAGGGAAAATTATCTCATTGGGTTGATATTGCCTTAAAAGATGCTGAAAAAGTTCACTTCATCCTGGTAGAAAAAGTGACCACAAGATTCAAAGTAAGTGAAATCATTGTAGTATATTAGTAACCTTTTTTTTTTTTTTTTTTCCGTTTTTCAGCTTCAGAAAAAAATGATGGTCAGAAGGATTCTCTTAAAACAAACTTCCTTTATTATATATTTATTTATAGCTCTTTATCAATTCTAATTATATTGGTAACTTAACTGGAAGGTGAATTTTTTAAATCTAAGTTTGGATAATTCCATGTTCTGAGTTCTTAAAAATCATTTGCAGAGACAGGAAAATATGTAGAAAGAGCCAGGCTCAAGCTAGAAGTTACAAGTCTTACTCTACTCTTCCTCCTGCCTTTCGCTCAATACTTGCTGACTACTCATTTATAAATATTTATTGAGCATACTCAATGTGGTAGGCCTTTGGTACATTTAAGTTTAGTAAGACAAAACCCCTGTGCTCTATTATTTATATTTAGAAAGGAGAGAGAGGCAAATAAATAAATAATTGTCATAAAGTATTAAAATATAGTAAATGCAGAAAAGTGAAAAAAATCTGCACATAGTGTAGATTCAAAAGATGGAGTGACAAGTTTTATTTCAGAGAAGGGATGGAGAATAATTATACAGAAAAGGTGATGCTTGAGCTAAATCTTAAAAGATGAATTAATGTTTGCTAGCTGAGAGTTTGAGAAGCATTCTAGGAAGCAAAACAGCATAACCAAATGCCTGAACGATAGGGAAACATGGAAACTCTGCTATGTGATAGGAGGGCATCATGTGAAGTTCAGCAATGATGAAACTGGAAAGAGAGTTATCTAGGGAAGACCTCATGTTGAATACTGAGAAAAAAAATTGACTTTATTCTACTATGTGCTCAAAAACAGTTGAAAAGATTTGGTTCTTGCTTTTAAGAAGCTTACATCTAGTGGGGCAGATACACAAGTATCTTGTTTCCATATGCTAAGTATGTTGTGATAATAATAAATACCGGATATTATGGGAGCATAAAGATAAGAGAATAACCTCAGTTTAGTGTGGGTTGTCATGGAAGATTTCACAGAGAAAGTGACAGTTGAGAGATTGGAAGAATTCATAAGCATTGGTGAAGCAAAAAAAAAAAAAAACTTTTTAAAAAATTTAGCTTAGCGGGTTGGGGATATGGCTCAAGCGGTAGTGCGCTCGCCTGGCATGCATGTGACCAGGTTTCATCCTCAGCACCACATACAAACAAAGATGTTGTGTGCGCTGAAAACTAAAAAATAAACAAATATTAAAATTCTCTCTCTCTCTCTTTAAAAAAAAATTAGCTTAGCATAAGTGAAACTAATTATAAGAGTCTGAGACTTGAATTAGGAAAATTGATAATAAGATTATTTTAAAACAATAATCCAATGAAGAATTGGGCCAGAAAGCTAAGGCAGTTGCAGTAGGATATAGGAGAGGGGAAGAATATGAAAAATGTTAAAAGTGTTGGAAGCCACAAGACTTAGTTATTTAATGTGAAAATATAATAATAATAAAATAATCAGTGATTTATTATTCATTGACAATGAGAGAGGAGTAATTTGGGATAATGTTTTTATGGCTTAAGTAAGTGGTGCTCTTCCTGAGATAAAGGAATATAGGAGGAGGCAGAGGAAGTATAAGTTTGGAGGAAAAAGTAATGAATTCAATTCTGAATGTGTATAGTTTTCTGTTGAAGTAGAATTTTCTAGTTGAGGATTGGATATGCATCTGAGGGGCTGAGGGTGTAGCTCAGCGGTAAAGCTCTAGCCTAACATTTGTGAAGTCTTGGGTTTGATCACTAGCACCACAAAAAAACAAAACTTTACTGGGGATGTATCTCGGTGGTAGAAAGCTCGCCTAACATGTACAACAACCTACCAACCCTACCAAAAAAAATTTTTTTGAAGTGGACATGTGTCTTGATACTCATCAGAGAGGTCTGGGCCACAATGTAGAACTGTATGTTGTAGGCATTTACAAAGATAGACTAAAATGGATGTAATCTTTCAGAGAAAGTAAGAAAAGAAGCAAAATGAAAATAGATTGCCACCAGTAACAAAGATAAAAGAGCTGGCAAATAATCTTAGCTTACTTAATATCTATGAACCCTAGTTCTTTGTGAGTGAATTGAGAATTATTAAAGAAAATAATGTGTATATAATAATTGGTAAAATTTTCAAATCTTATAAAAATGTGATACTACTTTAGAGTTTTCATCAAAAATACACAATCTTAAAATTTTTAATTCATTCCGTTTTTTCAATAATAAGAAAAACAAGATGGAAACATTTACTCTGAATTTTGAAAACAAATCTTTTCATTTTCATAAAACTGCTTTTTTAGCACAAAGAGTCATTGTTACAATACTGTTCTGTTTGTGCAGGTAGATGGTAAACACAGAAAGAAAAATTCAGTGTTTGAAAGACTTCAAATTGATATTCAACATTTGTGCTTGAGTAAGTTGCCTAACTTTCCATTGCTCTATCATAAATCAGAGATGTTTCAAACTTTAAGGATTGCTTAGAAATTCAATCATTAGAACACTGCTTCAGGAAAAACAAAGGAAAATTAGTTCAATATTAATAGAGAATATTATATTTAACACTCAAGTAAACGTAAATTGAATTAGGATTGAAAACAATATTTTCAGTATTAACTAAAAATGAAGTGTTATATTCAGAAAAAGTTAAAAAAATTTTTTTTTTTTTTTTGGACCTGGGGATTCAATATTTTATTTTGAGACAGGGTCTTGCTAAGTTGCTTAAGGCCTCACTAAGTTGCTAAGGCTGGCCTCAAACTTGGCCTCCTGCCTCAGCCTCTCAAGTCACTGGGATTATAGGCAAGCACTATCATGCCAAGGCAAGAGTTTAAAATTTGAAAATGCATCCTTATTTGCTTCTTTGTCCTGTTTAAATTAATCTTGAATGTGTTCATATCCTAAACTAGCCTTCTGCCTGTAATTAACATGATTTACCAAAACCATTAAAGAAAATGAAATAGTTCCTCTGCCTAGCTAATAATGTATAAAATATTCTGTCTAGATTTTTAAATATATTACTTTTCTAATGTTGATAAACAGCTTCTCAGGTTATATGTTGAATTCTATAAAGTGAGAATTTTTTTGTTTGAGTCTCTAGGTTTAGCCCTAAAATTCAGGCATTTTAATTAATTCTAATTTTATCTCTTAAAAAAAAAAAAACACATATACTCTGGCTGGGATTGTGGCTCAGTGGCAGAGCACTTGCCTTTCACATATATATGAGGCACTGGGTTCGATACTCAGCAGCACATAAAAATGAATTAAAAAAGAAAACTCCACATATACTTATCTCATAAGAGAACTTATTTAATGCTTTCTTTCATTTCAGACAAGATTCCTGTACTGAGAGAAGGGAAACTACCTGTGGTAGGAATTGGAAAGCATCTGTGTGGTGTGGCAACAGGTAGGTAAACACACTGATAATATCTAAATTAATACATTAAATCTTAATTTAAATTGCCTAGTGGTTTCTTTTGAGTTGTTAAGATTTCTTATACTTGCAGCTTATCAGTCTTAAAGGGGAATGAAGGGAAGGGAATGGAGAAAGGAATAGGAAAGACAGGAGAATAATTCTGACATAACTTCCCTATGTGTATATATGAGTCCACCATAGTGAATATCTACATCATAGACAACCACAAGACTGGGATCCTAATTAGAATAAGATGTACTCTGTGTATAAATAAGTCAAATTATACTCTACTGTCATGTTTAACTACAAAGAACAAAAATATATAAAAAAAATTTTAAACTTATTCTAGTTACAAAAAAAACAGTCTTCATAAGCAACACTGGCCCTATGTTGTATCAAATGCAGGGCTTTCCTAGATATCTGCTCATTTTGGCCATTTTGCAGGATGAATCAAGAGTGTTATGTATAAATAATATGTCATATGGAACCTTAAAATTCTTTGGGTTATATTACAACTAAACAGGGAAACAAATTGTTGTGGAAACTGTAGTATTTCACCCCAGAAGGTACTTAGAGAAACTTTTTTAGAGGAACTTATAAGATCACTGTGTGTCAGGATTCTGAGGAAAAATTTTTAAAATTTCATACCAGAAAAATCTAAGATGTCTTAGCACTTCTGTTCATCAGATCTAGCATTGTAGAATGGAAACAGCATACATTGGGACTCGGATAGTTTCATTGTCAGTTCTGCTGTGTAATTTTGGCAAGTTATTTAACCTTCCTGAGCTTTGGTTACCTCATTGGTAAAATAGGGGTAATAATACCATTTACCAGTTTCCACATAAAATTCTGGCATATATTAATGCTCACTATGTTAGCTATCATTATATCTTCCTGGATCCTGCTAGTTTCATCATCTATTCATTTGGGGAACTTGGAGCCTTCATAAGACATTATTCAAATTGGCTGAATATGAGTACTGTATATTGTGTTGTTCTTCAAAGTTTTTAGATGACTTCCATATATCTTAATTAACCCTTAAATAAAAGCCTTTTGAAGTAAACCAGTTGCATCCAATTTCATCCTAGGGAAGGGGGAAGGTATACACCTTTGACTCTTCCCATCTAATCCATATTTCTCAAAAGTATAACCTACAGTGGCCAGTTCTCATATTCCATGCATTTTCTCCACTTTGGTTCACTCTGTTTGAATTCCCCTTTCATCTCTTGCAGTTAATTATCCTTTTTGAATTTCTATTTCATTGTCTTTTCTGACACTTCTTTCCCAGTTCTTTCCTTTCATCAGTGCATTTCTTCTGTTTCTTTCATGGTTTCCTTCCACAGGGTTCTTTAAATATTAATATTTAGGTCCATCTGCTACATTCCTAGTGTATCCTTCCCCTTTTTAAACTCTTCAGCAGTTCTTTGCTACTCTGTTTCTAGCTTTACTGTTCACCAACATCAAGCTTGTATATTTTTCCATATACTATTCTGTTCCTACCATTTCTGGAATTCCACTGTCACCCAAACAAAAAGACTGGTCAATATCTATTCATCCTGCAGCTCAGTTATCACCTCTTTTTTTTTTTTGGGGGGGGGGGTCTCCTTAAATAAGATCTGCCTCCTTAGTATTATCACAATACCCTCTTTTGTTTGTTTGTTTTTGGTTTTTTGGAGAGGCTACCAGGGATTGAACTCAGGGGTACTCAAACACTGAGCCACATCCTTAGCCCTATTTTGTATTATTTAGAGATAGAGTCTCAGTGAGTTGCCTAGCACTTCACCATTGCTGAGACTGGCTTTGAACTCGTGATCCTCCTGCCTCAGCCTTCCGAGCTGCTTGGATTACAGGCATGTGCTACTGAGCCCTGCCTCTGTGGTATCTTTACCTGATTATATTTCACTTATGTCTGTTTATTTAATTCTGCCAGAATCCTATGAATTTTCTGAAAATAAGGCATATGCTAATACAATGCTCAATATATAACAGAAACTTAGTGAATTTGAATGAATGAATAATCTTGGCCACTAATTTGCTGTGTTTCTTTGTCCTTTTTTGGGTATACAGCTTTATCCCTTTAGATCTCTATAAAAAAAGAGGTTGAGCTAGACTGATAAAGATCCTTTTAATTCTGAAATTATTTAATTCTTTTAATAATTTTTCTGATTATTCTCATTTCTGAAAATCATTTACTTAAGTTAAATATAAATAAAATAGTGACTGAATATATTTTGTTAGAAAATAATAGTTTATGGAGCCAGGCACAATGGCACAACTATTCAGGAGACTAAAGCAGGCGCATTACTTGAGCTAAGCAACAGCAAAATCCCTGCCTCAAAAATAAAAAGAGAGAAAGAAAGAAAATTGTATTAGCATTTTAGTAGCATAGTATATGCCTTAGTCTCAAAAAATTCATAGCATCTGCAAGAATTAGATGTATAAACAGACAAGTAAAATATAATAAGGTAAAGATATGCAGAGGGAATTGTGATAAAACTGTTTAAGAAATAATAGATTACAGAGTATTAACATTATTTTGTGAAGATTGGTGTTTGTATTAAAACTGTTGTGCCCTTATACCATAAATAAATAAATAAATAAATAAAATAATAGATTGACTATCACCTTATCCAAATAATAGGTTTCCAATAATGTTTGTTGACTTAAATTCATATATTGAGCTAAATTTACTAGCAAATAGCAGATCATTTAATATTGTGACATCTTAGGGCAATAAAATTTTTAAATATACATTTGTTTTTAATTGAGCAGACACAATATAACAATCTAATAAGAAAATATGGGTTTTACAGTATATAATTATGGTCTTTCCAATATTGTCAACAGTATAGTAGTTCTCAGTGGAAAATATCCATACTCATCAAAAATCTTTGGGTTTTTTTGTTTGTTTTTTAGTTTTCAAATGTACTAAAATGTTTTCATTTTAATATAGCATACATAATCCTCTAAGTTTGGGTATATTGCATCCTCAATGTTTTACACATGAAAGGCATTCAGAAAATATTTGCAGAATGAATGCATAAACACAGTAAGACTACTCAGAGAGGCCTACTTTCCATGTTCTGATCCCCTGTTCTCTACTCTTCAATTCATTGCTATTTGCTGTGATTATCTTCTAACTCAAAATTAGCATCATTATGTTAAGCAAAATTGCCTTTGTTCTTTACTTCTTACTTTGAGTTTCTTAAGCTCAAGTTTCTTAATCTGGAATGCAAGTATAGGTAAATAGATGTTTCTATACAAATCATTTCCTCAGCCAGGGTAGGGGAAATGGGAGACAATTCAAATAGTTAGACAAAAGGTTTTTTTTAATTGTAGACCTTAAATTTGGATAGTTTTATTGGGAAATAGATTTTATGCAAAATTAGTCACTAGAAAAAATAAGAAGATAGAAAAAAGCAGATTTGAACAAAGTTGATACTTTATGATAGGATTATTACATATATAAAGCTAAGTAGATTTTTGTTGTTGGGTTTTTAAAAACCATACTGTTTAAGAAATATAAAAAAATATTTATTTTAAAGATGATGGTTTGGGGGGGGCGACATAATTGTGTTTGCAGATCTTGCATTACGATGTTTGGTTGAAACCTATGCTGCCAGTTTTGAGGAAAGGAATGAAGAACCTTTAGCCAAACGCATAAAGAATGATAAAACAGAAAAAGAAATTAACACTTTGGCCAAGGAAGGAAATGAAAAAAATGTCCCAGAGAAGTGGACCCCTGTGGCTGGCATTGTTATTGCACTCTGTTGTCACCACAGGTGTGATTGGAGACATTATGTGGGCAAAGAATATTTCAGGGCCCTAGGCCTTGGAGCAGTAGAATTCCACTATTTCCAGCGAATGAGTAGTTGGGCGACTTGTGGGATGCAGAAAACATCTTTCAAAGCCTCAAATATTACCACAAAGAGAAACGATAATCAAAACAATGATAGCGAAGAGCATGATGAAGGAGGATACAGAGTCACAGATGACAGCTCTGAGAGTTTGCCTGGGTAAGTGACTACTTTGTAATGCTGAACACTAAAGGGGAAATATTTTATTATTGCTATACGGTTGTCCCCCACTTATCCATGGGGCATACATTCTAAGACCCCCAGTGGATGCCTGAAACCACAGATAGGATACAAGCTCTGTATCTGATGACAGAAATGGCTACTAAACACCTATCTGATGGTCAGGTAATATATACAGTGTGGATTTGCTGGACAAAGGGATCATCATATCCCAGGTGGGAAGGAGTGGGAGGGCAAAAGATTTCATCATGTTATTCAGAACATCACTTCTTTAAAACTTATAAATTATTGAAAGGAATTTTCCATTTAATATTTTCAGATCACAATTAACAGAAACTACAGAAAATGAAACTGTGGATAAGTGGGGACTACTTTCTTCTTAGATGACTATTACCAACAGTTTATTCCTAAGAACATACAGTGTAATTTTAGAGTAACTTAAAATACATGCATTTTTATTAAGGTTATAAGGTAAATGTGCCTTGGAAGATGGAATATAGTACTCAGTATAATGTGGGCTATTTAACAGTTTTTCAATAATTACAAGTGACTAAAAGTTTTTTAAAAGTTTACAAAGTGTTAATTTTGTGTGTTCCATTTAGGCTTCTTACTGTTGAAGAAAAGAAGAAAATAGGGCATCTTTGTAAATTGCTGATTGACCAAGGTCGAATCCAGTATTTACAGCAGAAGGGATTCAATCCTGCTTTACAATACTATACAGACCCTTTGGTATCTTTGGAAAATGTATTGTTAACTGCTTTACCAATTCATGCTTCGCCAGAAACAACTGCTTAATAGGAAAGAAATTTGAACATCATCTGTCTTCCACCAAAAAAATTTTTTAATTATATTTTTATATTCACAAAAATATAATTTAAATAGCAGATAATGTGAACTTTAAAACTACTGTGGCCTCATTAAACTTTGGCAATAATTGTTTTTTACTTCAGAGGTCCAAATAATTCATCAAATTCCCAAAGTAATCCTCTTCGGCAGGGCATTTTGAATTACATTATTCATCAGTATTTATAGAAGTTGGTGAAGTAATCAAACAATTGACTTCATCATCTGAAACACACATAGTACATCAACATATTAATTAACATGTTAAATTTCTATTTCTATTTGCATTTATTTGGGAAATATATTTTTCCTTTGATTATATTTAATATTTTTTGTGTCTCAAGTTCAAAACATAATGACCAATTGTCAATCTGTAACAAGGGCCAACCTGAGAATTTGGCAATGTGAGGACTTTTTTTCTATGCAGATCTGGAGATGATAATCAACTGTACTTTTTCTCAAATGCAAACAGATTCAGAGATGTTCACAGTCAGTAAATACAATCACTTTCAGACTACCAGAGCCATACCTATATTTATATACTATTAGAATTTGTCCAGGACAAACACCAAAACTGAAGAAATATTATTAAGTAAAAAAAAGTTTCACTTCATTTTTGTGCTGTTGGATAATTATAACTAGATTATCTAGTTATACACGCATAAACCAAAAATTAAATTTGAAATTTGCAAATAATTTATCAAGTTAACTTGGTAGCTTATATCTTTTACCAGGAGTTTTTTTTACATATGTAAGTTCAAACATTAAGTATGATCTCTGTTTTTTGGAGAAAATAATTTGAACTAAAACAGAAATCAGATGATGAAACCAAAACCTTCTCACACTTAGGCCTTATTTAACTGATAAGTGGTTTTTATGCAGAAGCAAATATTAAACCAAACATATAGTAGGAATGTTACTCTCACATTTTATCCTTGATTTGTTTATGCATTTATTTGTAAACATTTTCTTAATTGTTGATCATATGCCAAGACAAAGATCCAGAATTATTAATTTTAGATATTATGAGATTCTGAAATAGCTATATGTATCCTGTAGAATTGTAAATAATTGAAAAATTGTAGCCCATTTTTCATTCCAACCTTTCTACTTATGTCTTGTCAAATCCCAATCCTACCACCTCTTACTGTGTGACCTTGGGTAAGCTACTTAATCTCTTTGTGCCTCAGTTTTCTCCTCTTAATGGGGATGGCAGTAATAATAATAATAATAAAACCTACCTCACAAGGTTGTTGTGTGCATCAAGTAAGCCAACACAAATAAAATGCTTAGAATGGTTCCAAGCACAAACTTAAGTACTCAAATATTAATTACTAGTAGTAGTAATCATGGATCTATTTTTAACAACATTAATAGGAGGGCTTTTATTTTATCTCCTCTTTGTTTAAATTGTTACTTTTTTTTTTTTTCTCTCTTCTTGTATGTTTTAGGCCAAATCTTATTAAAGTAAGATAGTGTGATAATTTTTTTAGTTACTCATTTCCCCAGTCAAAAGAACAAGATATACATCCTTCAATAGTTAACCTCATTTTATTATTAGAAATATTCATTTGTATCATAAGGTTTATTTTGTATCATTAAACAATTTATGCCCACAAATAAAAGATATTCAACAACTAATATAATCTGTTATGTTTCATATGTTTCATAAGACATACATACATATCCAAAAATTATCATACTGATGCAGTTCAGTTTCCTACTTGTCTTTAATTTATCCTTTCTACTTTCTAAAACTAGACCCCACAGTATTAGAACTTTTTTGTTTTCCTCCCAACCTGTATCCATGCTATTGCTTCTGTGGCCTTGCTTCAGGAGACCTAAACATTAACCCTCCACTCCCACCCCTCTGGTACTGGGGATTGGACCCAGGGGTGCTCTACCACTGAGCCCTTTTTATTTTTTTTATTTTGAGACAGGGGCTCACTAAATTGCTGAGTCTGGCTTTAAACTTAAGATCCTTCTGCCTCAGCTTCCCCAGTCACTGGATTACAGGAAGAATACCACCATGCCCTGTTTCTAATGACTACTTCAACATTCCATTGAGTTGAACTAAAATCTATTGAGTTAAAAAGTCTTCAAACTTCACATTTTAGTATATTATAAAGCCATGATTTATTTATTTCTTTTTTTCCTCCCCGAGTACTGGGGATTGGACCCAGGGCTTCAGGTATGCTAGGCATCTATTCTTACACTGAACCATATTCACAGCTCTTTTTAAATTTTAAATAGCGGTATGCACAAAACAACAGTGCCTTGCTAAATTGCCTAGGCTGGTATTAAACTTGGAACCCTGCCTCAGCCTCCTGAGGAGCTGGGATTATGCAACTGGGCCCGGCATGATTTCTATTACTATGCTATCATTTCATTGCTTTTTATGGGAATTGAATCCAGGGGTGCTTTACCACTGATCTCCATCCCTGTCCCTTTTTATTTTTTTATTTTGAAACAGGGTCTTAATAAATTACTGAGACTGGCCTTGAATTTAATTGTCCTGCTTCAGCCTCCAGAGTTACTGGGATTTCAGTTGTATGCCACCACACCTGATTCATTGCTTTTATTAACAGAGAATTCAGCTCTTTGCCCTATTCCCCTAATCTTGACTTAATATAAAGGCTTTCATAATTTTAAAAAAGTTTCATTCTAAATTATAAGAGACCTAATCAATTGAAATCTGTATATCAAAACCTCACATTCATTCTGTCAAAATTTGTTCTCTTTTAATATTTTTCACTAGAAGTAAAATAGTATTTTGCTATTTGTGGATTCTAGAAAAAGAAATACAGATGTTCAAAATGACAGATATGGCAAGCTGGTAGAAAAAGGTAGTAAAGTCCTAGGAATAGTGTCTTCATTCACTTGTTTGTGCTTCAGGTACTTGGCCAAAGAATTTATTTCCTGACTCCATTTGAAATATTTTGAATTTTTTTGGGGGGTGGGGTACCAGGGATTGAACTCAGAGGCACTCAACCGCTGAGCCCCATCCCCAGTCCTATTTTGTATTTAGAGACAGGGTCTCACTGAGTTGCTTAGCACTCGCTTTTGCTGAGACTGGCATTGAACTTGTGATCCTTCTGTCTCAGCTTCCTGAGCCACTGGGATTACATGTGTGCGCCACCATGCCCAGCTTTTTGAATCTTTTTACAACTTTTCTCCTAATCCTTATCAGAATTATAAACAGAGTGGAATCTTACTTTCTTTTCCTCTTACGATATTGGCCAAAAGACCAGAATTTGGTAGAAAAGGCAAGATGGAATGAGAAATCCATCAAAGAACTCAGAAAGTTAGGAGCAAATTATATACACATTTCCTTACCAAAAAGAATACTTGATCTATGTTATATACAAATCTCCTACCTGCTTTTCTCCGTGATTCCTGTATGTATGTGTGCATAAACTGAAGGCCAAATAATTCCCGTTCCTCCTCTTCATCTACGCTTTCACTGGGAGGAAGTGTTACTTCCAGTTTCAGTGGGTTGTCTCTGAAGTTGACAAACCTAGCAGTTCACCAAAAAAACAGTATTTTTATAGGTGCCATGGAAGTGTACATTTATTTTCCTGGAGAAAGATCAAATGACAATATACTAAATTACTCTTTTTTTTTAACTGGTTTCAATAACTGAACATCTGGGTGAGATGTGATATATCCCAAGAATCTTTTAAGTTTCTTTCCTAGAAGAAAAAAATATTAGCTTTGAACAACTTATTTTCTAAGCTTAGTAAAAGAAGTATTATTTCATAGCATATATTTAATGTGATACAGTTTAACTTTAAAGAGCACTTCTAATGCATCTTAAATAAATAATGCTATGAATTTAGTTTCTGCCTATTTTATAGATCTGTTTTATACAGATCTATAAAATAGATCTGTCCATCCCTGTCCCTTTTTATTTTTTTATTTATAGATCTGTTTTATACAGATCTATAAATGTGTTTTTGCCATCTAGCACAAGGCCTTTAGTTGCTGAATAAGTGAATGAAGAATGATTTGTACCAGTTTTTGGATTTAATGTCTATTATTTTGTCAGAAAATTAAATTTTGAAAAAAAACATGATGGAGTTCTGATAAAACTAATAAAAATTATATCTGTTTTCATGGAGTCCTGATAATAACTAATAAAAATTATATCTGTTTTTTATTGGTAAGAGTTTTCTGTCCATTTGTAATTAAGAGGAAAATAATCACTATTTTATTGGTGAAAACTTTTAGTTTTTATGTTGCTGATGAGAATTGCTAGCAGTATGAAGATAATTTTTGGGAAAATGCCACCAACATAAGACATTTCTTAAAAATGATCAATCTCAGTACTTAGTTTCAAGTATCTTTCTTGAATAATTTATTCCAGTATTATATGAATCCAAAGCATCAAATTATAGAATTTTAACATTGACAAAGATTTTTTAAAATATATCCATTCTTACAAGTAAGGATCCAATTATATTAATATAAACAACGTATGTTACTTGTTCTGTGGCCAGAAATGAACATGTCATTTTGTATCTTACAATTTTTACCTCAGATTTTCCATTTCTCCCATGCATAGTGGAATATCTTGCAGTTTATTGTTGCTGAGAACAATGGTGCCCAGGTTTTTCATATTGCTGATTGTTTCTGGCAAGCATGTTATTTGATTCCGTTGTAGCCATAATGTATGCAGACTTTTCATTCTGAAGAAATAAAAGAGATTTCTGTGATTAGTCACACATAATATGAAATACTAGGTTCTTATTACTTTAAAAATCAAATGTCCTCTTTTGTAATATGTCTTTTTTTGTTGTTTTATTTTATTTAATTAATTAATTAATTAATTTGTTTATATGTGGTACTGAGGATCGAACCCAGTGCCTCACACATACTAGGCAAGTGTGCTACCACTGAGCCACAATCCCAGCCCTGTAATATATCTTTTTTTTGGGGGGAAGGCAGTACCAAGGATTGAACTCGGGGACACTTGGCCACATCCTCAACCCCATTTTGTATTTTATTTAGAGACAGGGTCTCACTGAGTTGCTTAGTGCCTTGCTGTTGCTGAGGCTGGCTTTGAATTCCCAATCCTTTCTCAGCCTCCTGAGCTGCTGGGATTACAGGCATGCACCACCACACCTGGCTCCTATAATATGTCTTTTAACCAACACACTTTTCTTTTTCTTTTTCTTTTTTGTTTTGTTTTGTTTTTTAATGCTGGCGATTGAACCCAGGGGCCCTTTTACTACTAAACTATGTCCCAATTCCTTTTTATTTTGAGAAAGGGTCTTGCTAAGTTGCTAAGGCTGACCTTGAACTTGTGTTCTCCTGCCTCAGTCTCCATAGTCTCTGGTTATAGTCATGTGCCACCACACCCAGCTACTTAGATTAATGACTTTAGATTACCTGATTATTAGAGAAACTACATGTGGAATTAATCTCTACCGTATAGCTCTCATATCATATGGTAGTAAAAATGAAACAAAAATATTTTAGTTTTCTTCATTTTTCTTAGTTTCTACTGTTATTGGACTCTTAAGAGAAAAATCAGAAAATATTAACATGCTTCTTCAGAAGAAGGCATTAATGCATAATGGTTAACAGCATGGAATGGGCCAGCATGCCTGGGTTCCAATCCTAACAAATTAGATGATTATTAACTAACCTTAGGCTAGTTTGCTAACATCTCTGTGCTTGGTTTTCTCATTCTTTCGTAAATCACACAATACCTTGCATTCACTAAGCAATGTTGTTCTCACTATGGTATATTCTGTTAATGTCTTGAAGTCAGATAGCCAGATTTTCCATCCCAAATTCCTCACTTATTTAGAATCAATGAAATAATTCTGTTTAAAGACAGCATATTTCAAACTAAATGGATCTGTTCTGGTTGATTATATTTGGCATCTCCTTTGTCTTGTTAGTTCCTATTTTTCACAGATGGTTTTAAGGCATTTGTCAGTAGCATAAAAAGTTACTCATTTTACCTTTCTATGGCATCAGGAAGTTGTTCAAGTCTGTTGCTTCCCATGTCCAGCCACTCAAGAGCAGGCATGTTCAACACAGCAGGAGGGATTGTAGTAAATTGGTTCATACTCAAATCAAGGTGAGTAAGTTTTAACAGACTGCTGAGCTGAAGAGGAAAGCAAGGTTTTTCAAAATAAATGTCTACAATGTAAATTCCTAGAAGACTCACATTGGTAAAGGAGATACATCATATCAATGAACATTTGTATTGCACTTGGGCTTTAAAAAATTTAAGCACAGTAGGCCAGAACAAACTAAAAATAAAAATAAAGCTGAATAAACAAACTCCAGTGATATGA